GCCTCTCTTATCAACGTTCGTTTTAGAGTTTCCTTTGGACATCCTCGCTTCCCCAATCCCTTTATTTTCCATGTAAGTTCCCATTTAATAATTTTCTGCTCCTTTCTTCTAAGGATGTGATGAATAATACGTCATCTTCTTTGTCTTATAACTGTTGTTATCAGTGGTTGTCCCCATATTTCTCATATTTCTTCACCCCTCTTGATTTCATCTAATTCCATGTCCACCCTATTCAACCCCCCCCCCCCCCCCCCCCCCCCCCCCCCCCAGCCCAACAAAAATCCATGTGAAAAATGTTGCACATAAATTACATGCTTGCTTGTTTGTTGTACCCCACCAGGACATCACACAAGCGATAAACGCCCGATGACACAAAGTGCCACTATGCGGATGAGGATCATCCGTAGAGAGATCCTAGAAACCCCTTTAAGCCATTATGGCCACATTTATGGCCCGGCTATTTTCAGGGCCCCCGGCAAAAGCCAGGGTGGGGCTTCAAATAACGAAAACTTGTATCCCACATGGGGACAACATCATTATAAAATATATGAATGTAGACACTGCCCTTGCTTTATTGCTTTGCAGATATCTAGTTGGTGAACATTTTCATATACACGAAACTTTAAGCACTGGACTGAAGGGAAACTGGCTTGTAAACAGCATCATCTCCTGAAACTGAGGTTATATTGGACATGAGCGCCATGGTCGTCTGGTGAGAACGGTGATTGGGGGGAGATGCAGTTCGGGAAAGTGAGGCAGATGTTGACCACCGCGAAGGTAGATACAGGTTGTTGAAGATGCATTGGCTGTGAAAGCACCGTAAGCTGGAGAATTGACTAGGAAAAGAGACTTCCAGGCTTGCCTTGATGAGAGCGACGTTTTGTTAAAAGAAAAACATACTGGCTAATTGATTGAATAGCAGAGGCCTTTGAGGCAATGTGATCGTTACTTGGCTACTTTTTATCGTCATCATTATAATTTTTTATCATTATCATTCTCGTCACAACCGGTCTGAGCTGAACATGTAGTAGGAATGTGTTCCTAGGCAGTTTCCCTATCGCATGCTTCTGAGTGCTCAGTTTCTCCTAATTCCTGTGGTTACGTTCAGTCTGCTTTTCTTCTTTCTACGTACCATGCCGTACAGTAATGCACCCGTTCCCCACTCTAAGTCAGTGTCGTTTCCACAACACATGTTGGCTGTCATAGATCTCTAACACAGTCTCTCACCCTTGTATACTCTGAACTATTTTTTTTTCCAATCTCTATACGTTACTTACTCACGTGTATTGCCGCTTACCTCTTGATAACTTCTCTTCGAATTTTTCATCGAATGTATTCTTCTTGTAAGAGTTTTATGTCTGTTTATTACGTAACTAGACAATTCAGTTTTCTCCTTTCCTTTTCTCTTTCTTTTATTGACTCTGTTTTTCTCATCTACATGCGACTTCTATATTCGACTGTTTATGTTTCAATAAAGACGGCTTTTTCTGTAAATTCACATTTCCCGATAAAGGCGAAGAGGTTATCATTAAACTATGTCGATTCCAGCCTTGAAAATATTTATCCCAAAAACAGGACATGATTTTTGTACAGCCAGCTGGTTTTGCCAGATATTATTTGCGCTATGGAAATTGCTTAACACATAACTTTCTATAAAATTCACCCTGTATGTGGTGGAAACAAGCTCACAGCAGTTGGAAAATTTCTAAAGAAGTTCCATATTATTGGGGTTTTTTAAGACTAATTATTTATTCTTGTTCGTCCTTGGGTAGTCTGGTCCCTTGCCAAGGCACATGGCTGCTATGACGTTCGTTAAATGGCCCGATGAAGCTCCTTCTAAGAAAGATTGTAAATTGAGAACACTGGCATGAGTAACAACTGAATTCTGCTCCCGAGTTTCCTAACTTAATATTGGAGTAAATAAGCGAGCAATGCTAAATACGTTTAGCGGAAGATTAAATTATCTTGTCTTCGTTTATTTTTATTTCATTATCCCATAGTTATCTACAGTTTATTTAATGCTGACTCCATGTTTTTCAATAGTAGAAGCACGCAATAGCCTCTTTCACTTTAGCAAGTAATTGCTCACATTTATTCGAAGTGGGAGGTTTTTAACTGCAAAGATAACACATTGTCCTGGGTCCCTTCATTTGTTGTTGTTGTTATCGATCCAGCGGCGCATGAGCTTTCGCCCTTTGGCCCAATGCCATGTAGTGGAATTTGCATGTTTTCACAAGCTGTTCTTTTCCTCCGTACAAGGTGTTCCACTTGTCTGGTCTCGGAGGGAGTAGCGTTCTTCTTGTCTCACTGAGTTTTGGGCACTCAAAGAGATGGTGTTCAACAGTTTCGTAGGGGTAGTTACATAGCTGGCACTCTGGGGAGTGTTGTGGCTGTATTCTGTTTAGGTGTCCATTGAGTGGAGTATGTTGCGTTCTAAGTCTGAAGATGGTGGCCTGGTCCCTTCTTGTTAGATGGTTAATGCTGTCATTAGGATCATTTAAATACCATTACTATTTATGGATACAGTTTAATATCGATTTTCCATTCAGTGCAGCTTCTGTAGCATGGTATACATTTATTCGATACTTTTTCAGTCATGCCAGTTTTTCGTTAGGGCCCATTGAGGGGAAAACAAGAATAAACACATTGCCTTGCAAAACCACGAATTGTATAGCTTCCCATCCCATGATAAGCGGACGGCAAGTCCTTAGTGATGCGTGTGGCGATCAGTTCGGATTCCAAAGAGTCAACAGAGTATGGAAAGAAAATTAGCAAAAATCCAGAAGCAGGTCTAGAATTACAAAAAGGTATGATTTTGCGCCATGAACGGTGGGAAAATGTTCAGCGAGAACAAATTGAAACGTCCAGAATATCATAAGGAACAACTGGGCAACAGAAACAGTCTTCTTCTTCTTCTTTTTCTTCTTCTTCTTCTTCTTCTTATTCTCTTCCACCTTGTACCTCAACGAAGTATCGGGGGAGATGTAACATTCGTTGATGAGTTCTCTCAAGAGCACTATTAAGATTGATGTTCATTTCTCTAAGGCTGTTTGTTCTTAACGCCATCACTCCATATTTCCGAGGTCTTCCGCTCGCTCTAAACCCGTTGTAACGTTTCAGCGTGGCTCGTTGTGGTAGACAATACCAAGGTATTCTTGTTAAGTGTCCAGTCAATTTCATTTGTTGTTCTTTGATGACCTGTAAGGCTGGCTTTTTTTCCTAGCATTGGTCTGATTGTGATTACGTATTCTGTCTTTCTTTGAAACTCCAGGGTATTTACTTGTGTGTTATCATTATCGTCTCTGTCTTCGTATTTTTTATTCTCATATTATATCCCCCCTCCCCTTTTTGTTTGTTTGTTATTAATTTGATTTAGGTGGTTTTTTAGGCATTCCGTACTTTCTGGAATGAGTACCTGGTCGTCGGCGAATAGTAATTCTGTAATATCTTCTTCATGATTAAAGTTCGTTTCCTTACATATAGTATCTATGTTTGTTTTAAAAAGAAGTGGCGATAGTTAACAGTACTGACGCACACCAGATTTCACTATAAAAGTTCTTGATAATCCTGCCTTCAATCCTATGCAGCATTTGCTACTTGTGTACAGGTTTTAGCAAATATTAATAGTAACAATCAACTTAAAGAAATCAAAATGTTATTTAACTTGACAGGACCGTACACCATAGGTGTATTATCATATACCCCATTCCCATGATGTGTACAAACATGATAAGTGAAAAGTGAACTCGCCAAAATCCAACAACAACCCCCAAAAAATCCAGTCCTATTGTTCTCACACTAGCTCTATGAGGAGATTAAAGTAAAAAAAAAATAAGGCAATATCCTTTTTCACGCCTTAGGCGCATCGGGCATATGGGAAGAGCATCCCATATTTTATAGACAAATAAACACTAGGTGGGGAATGTGGTGAGCATTACGCTAGCCGTCTTTGCTTCCCAAGAACAGCCATCCTGGTACCCATTTTAGACCTGCGATGCCCCATACCATGATAAAAATCTACGCAGCCAGCAGTGGGTTTCGATCGCGGTACGTTGGAAATACGATTGGGACTCGCAAAGCCTAAGCCACGGACGCCGCTCTCTAAGAAGATTTGATTCACATAAATCCACAACTATAGGATCATGCTCTTGACCTTGAAAACTCCATAACGAGTCTACAACTTCCTATATCCAGCAGAAATGCTGACATGCAAGAAAAGTGTAATCACTTTAGATAAATCCAACAGAAACGCGAATACACAACTTCCTACCTTGTATTAATAATTTCCGCATACGCAGACACGACTATTAACAACCCAGCACGATACGGCTGTTATTTACTGTGGCATCCAGGGTTAATCTTTTGCTGAGATCCACAGAACTCGGACATATACGTCCTGCTTCTTCGACTGCATTGCTGCGAATCCTTGAAGTTGTGTCTCTCTGTTGTGTGTGTGTGTGTGTGTGTGTGTGTGTGTATGTGCTTGCGTGTGGGTGGTGTGTGAGTGAGTGAGTGATGTTTGAACTATGAAAACACCCATGTGTGTGTGTTTTGAGTTTAGTTATCTTCACACGTCAATAGGTGTTTCGATTCCCCTTTTATCATATGCATCAGTGTCCCACGGTTGATAGTGCCAGTCCTATGCTGGTTGACAAGACTTCTTGTACGCGCAGTGCGCCCCTGATGTTCTTAGGGTGGCAATCTGTAATTTAAGGCATAGCTGGCAAATCTTTCTGCTCTTTCACTGCCAACAATATCCACCTGCCTGGGACGAAGTAGGTAACTCCACGCTCAGTGGAGTTTTGAATGACTCCATCCACTCTCCGAGTACAGAGCCTGCCGTCGCCAACCTGATCTTGCTCATACAATCACTCAGCAAACACATGTGTGAATAGCTCTGTACAATAATATTTATGTGTGTCTTGTGATTTCATTTGCATGTGTGACATTCTACATCGCTGACCGCCTCAAAGTGTATCATTAACTATTGTCTTTCGCAGGTTGACGCTGTGAAGGGGACCAGCCTGGCCCACCCTGGGTCGGCAACAGACAGCAGCAAATCTTCTTCTGGGAAACCCAAACGAACCCCAAGTCCTCTCCGCAAAGTACGCGCAGAGATGAACAAGTCACACAACAGCGACCCCAGTTTGAACCAGATTTCCCGCGGCAGCCCAACGCTGGGATTCCGACCTCGGAGCTTGACCTTCAGCTTTACAAGTCGATACCGGTCTCGTCGGCGCCGGATGTCCTTGGGCTGTCGCAGCTGTGACAAATCCAGCTCAATTACACATTCCACACAGCTGTCCTTCTTGGACTTTGTTGACCTCTTCAAGTCGTTTGGTCTTAGATGCCGCAAAGACCTCAAAGATTTGTTTGACCAAATGTCTTCCACCAAGAAGCCACATGTGGAAGAGGCAGCTGCTTCTGTGGACATTCCTAGTCAAGCTCCTACCAGTGATAACATATGTATGTGTGTGTCTCTAAAGTTTGCTTATGTATGAATGTGTTGTTAATTTAGAATCTTAACTGTAGTGCCTATGGACAGTGAAGTACTAAATGTTGGATTTTTTTTCATTATCAACATCATGTAACTGGTTATTCTAAAAAAAACACTCTCATCAAAATGGGTCAGAAAGCCACATTGGGCTCCTTGCCCCATGTACCTTCGTGCACAGGGTGTCCATGATATCTTATGTCTATTTTTATGACGGTCAACCGCTCCTTCTTGCATTTTGTTTTATCTAGACTAATATACACACAGTAACCAGGGTGGTTTAGTGATGGTTTGTTTCCTGGCTCATGAATACAATGGTCTGGTCTCAATCCCTAAATTATATTTTCTAAGCAGTGTGGCTATGGTGTGGACTCACACGCATAAAATTGGCACCACATCATTTTCAGCTTCATCTGTTAAAGATAACTTTCAATCCACACTGTTCATCCATGATTGTTCCCAATCTTCTATAGATCACACTTGGTAAGTCAAAGTATATTGCAGACTGATCTTCTTCTTCACTTCATCTGTGACCGATTCAGGGGTAAAGAAACATTTTAAGGCTCTGCTTCTTGTTCTTCTGGTCACTCAACTATAGACACGATGTACTGTTGTAGAATTTCTCTGATGTTATCTTTCCATCTTGTTCTTGGTCTACCTTGGGCTCTACGTCCTTCCCCTCTTATGGTGTATGCCTTGTATAGTATGGCATCACAAGGCATTCTGTAAGTGGGCAATCCACTTGATCTGCTATCTTTGTATGTAATTTAGAATTGGTTCTGTGCCGAGTTTTCTCTTATGACCTCGTTTCTGATTTTATCTCTTCTGGTCACTTATGCAGCCTGTCTGTGGTTATTAATTTTCTGTTATGGTTATTTCTTATTTTTTCCTTTTTTTTGTGTGTGTGAGTTACCATGTCTAGCACTGGTAGATAGGGTGGGAATAAATATGCTTTGTATGAGATGTTTCTTTGTGCTGACTGTGATTGTAAGAGGGAGGCTAGCTTTCCTAATACTTGGTTTGCTTTACTGTATTTTATGTTAACTTCTTTATCCATTTTCCCATCTTCAGTGAATGTTGTACCCAGGAATTAAAACTCAGATGCCTGTTTAATGTCTTTACTGCTTTATTTAGTTTATGCTTTTCTCTTCTTATTGACATTATTACTTCTGTATTTTCAGTGTTGATTCTCATTGTTAATATTTTTGCATTATTTATTCATGGCTGCTGTTGCAATTTCATGGCTCTATCTGCTATCAATGTCTGGTCATTAGCAAAGAGTAATTCGTTTATTTTACTAATATTTTTGTTCCTGAGCTTGGCACCCTTGCATTTACTGTCATTGTAGGTGATAAACAGTAGTGGTGATAAGACGCATCCCTGTCTTACTCCAGATGTTACTGTAAATGGTTTAGATGATCCCTGATTTATTCTAAATACACTTCTACATTCCTTAAATAAACTTGCACACACTTTGACGAGTTATTCGCTTTCTCCATATCGAGCCGTTACTTGCCATAAAACTTGTCTATCAGCTCTGTCTGCCTTCTCCTTGTCTGCAAATGCAACAGATAAGTTCTTATTGTTTTCAATATTCTTTTCTGTTAACTTTTTAAGTGCAGTTTTAATTACAGACAGATAAATGCAATAATGTTCTGGTCTTTTATAGATCATATGATCAAAGTATTTCAATTTCTGGGTCATGATGCTTGTTACGAAGCAGTTTTCTTTAGTTATAGAATGGTAGTATTTTTCTTTTCTTTGTAAAATGAACTTTTCTGTTCAAGATTTTTGAATTTAAAAAGTCCTATTTGTTTGTTTTTTGTTGTTGTTGTTCATGTGAAATAGTCCAGATTCACATCCAGTTGTTACCATTAGAATGATGTAAGTTCTCCAAATTTCTTACTATTTAAACATCATTGTCTTTTTCTCTAATTACACCTTGCAATTCATAAGAACAATTGTACATGTTAGAAAATAATAACCTGTTTGTTTATTTTGCACAGGTTCAATCACCAGAATAACACCTCAAGATCTCAAATTGGAAAGCCAGCAAAGGCATAAGATCTGTGATGCCCTGGCAGTGTCCAGTATTATCTCCAACTGTGCAGGTGTTGACACCAGTCACAGCTCCTACCTCACACCACTAGAGATCCACGATTTCCTAGTCAATTTCCAGGTAAGTTGAATAGGATTTTCAGCTGAATTATGGGAAGAGCACAACCGAAACATGCTATGTCAAATGGAGGCATTTAAGACTAGTGATTAGTGAGGACAGACTTCTGATAGATTCACAGGTGCTCGAGTCTTCTCCTAAATAGCTTTGCAAGCGTAAAATGACTAATCATGCCATGTATAATCGCCATGTTGTGAACCAGTAATTGAAGAATGTCCTATATAAAATAAGCAAAAACTTAGCCTTTGAGCAACAACCCAGCCTCATGCCACCATATTGGAAATGGAATTCAAACATTTAAGAAAAGAGAGATAGGCAAAAACAGTGAGGGAGGGGTCTTGACAACTATATGTGATGACAGTGAAAGGTGTCAGTAAACAATGTGATATATATGTTCAGGAATTATGGGATATGAATAGAATTATGGGATGTGAATAGACATGACTGCAATGAGTGCACATGACATTCTACAAAATATTTTATAATAAAAATGCTGATGAGACTGACTACCTCATCCTACAGAGAACAGTAGCTGCACAATTTTAAAAACATTAAGTCTGCAAAGGGCTTGGCATAAGCCGATTGAGGGTGAATGCTGTACTGGGAGATAAAAGGGAGAAGATGTTGAATTGAGAGTTGACATTACAGCACTCAGGACACTCCCATAAGCGCTCCATCCCAAATTTTAGCATCAAGCAAAGAGTTCTGATTCCAATGGCACCAGTAACTGTCTGATGGTATATCAGTCTAGCCTTTCTTTTGAGTGCTGAGCATCCTGGTAACTTTCCGCAGCTCTGTTCTCCTCAGACCGTAATGATCTGTTCACTCACTCCCATTGGGCCCTCACAACATCTAGCTTGTCATACTATTCACCATCAAATGGTGTAGAACCGGCTAGTCTATCTGCTTGCTTTTTTCCCAACACACCAGCATGATCTGGAGAAAATATCCAAAGGATGCCAATTACGCAGGACCTCTGAAGGGATGTTTGCCACTCTGCATACTCTCAACATACTCTGTGAGTCAGTTACAATTATGACATGTGTGTAAGCTGACTCTCAATCCAACGGAAGGCAGCAGTGACTGCCTCCACCACCATTCTAAAACTAAATGCTGTGATATCATATGCCAGGCTTTGCTGCACTAGGCGACATCCATTAGCTTTTTCAGGCAGAAGAAGAAGATATATTATATATATTGTAATGTATTGTATTGTATATTATATTATATTATATTACATTATATTGTATATTATGCATTATATTATTATGTGCGTGTGCTGTATTCTTGTCTCATACAATATGTTATTGCATTTCTTTTCTAATACAGGAGGAACATTTAGATCAAGAAGAAATTGCAGAATTGGTCCGTAAATTTGAACCTGATCCAGCCATGAGAAGTCGCTGTTTCATGTCCTTTGAAGGTTTTGCTCGCATGCTTATGGACAAGAACAATTATGCCCACACTTATGAGAAAAGTCATTACCTTGATGAGGTGCGTGTCTTCCTTTTATTGTATCTCTGCATTGATGTTTTTTTTTTTTTTTGTAAGCATGATTTAAAATTAACAGGTAACTCTGGCGATTAGCTAATCCAGGGCATTTTAAAATATTAGCAATTTTATTGAGATATATTTAAACAAACTATATTTGTTTGAAATATTTGAAAACCTTTGTAAAGGTTCTAGAAAAGCTGATGAAACAAAACAGAAACAAATCAAATAGTTTAGAGGTAGGCTATATGATCATCATCATCGTGTGCCCTGCCAACTGGCTTAGGCGCTCATGCCTCTCCACAGATCACGATCCCTGGTTGCCTGGAACAGTTCTCTTGATGATAACCCTCCATGCCATCATTTCAGCCCATCCACCATCATCTCTCTTGGTCTGCCTCTACCCCTTTTCCCACTGATCTTTCCAGTTGTCACAATGTTCTCCAATGTCTCAAAATGTGTCAAAAGAACAGTGTTTGTCTCTTTCTTATTGGGCTATATGAGAAGGCTATATGATACAAAGGATATTATATTAACAGAGGATGGACAACAAAAGTCTGCCCAGAATGTATCAGCAGAGTATGCACAGTGGAGATTACTTATATCCAACCGTCATTGTAGCAATGATGCCTGTAAGATCTAAACGAATGAGACACAAATGATAGATTACACAATTTCTTGCCTGGCATATTTTGCTTCCTCTCATCAGACCACCTCTTCCTGTTGTAAAAATCTGGATGGCTGCGAACCTGTGCTTGCTCTATTTACTTTTGAGAGTGGTTGATTTTGAATTTCACATGAAATAAATTATTTGTATCACAAGCTTCAATTGTTACCGCAGTATACACCTGAATAGATAACAACAGTCAAATATGACAGGCAGCAAGGAATCATTGCTCCGACTTGCATTATTGTTGAGAGGTATTCTTGACCTCTTCTCTCCTTTTAAATTATTTCTCTGATGCTAGACAGCTTATATCTGTCTTCAGTACTGTTCTGGGAGCAACACAGTCTCATAAAATTATCAACTTTTTCTGTTTGTCTTGTTTAGATATTGAATTACTAATGCTTACACATGCAGTTCTGTTGTCTTCTTATCTTAGTGGTCTTAGTCGTATGGAATTGCCAACTCTTACATAAGTATTTATGATGTCATCTTCTTGTGTGGCATATCTTGGATTTGAACAATCTGTAAATATTTGTATTATCATAGTGTATTTATTTAACACTGCCAAGTCATCAAAACCTGTGTTAATTTAATTGTGTTAAATGAGAGGCAGGCAGGCAGGCAGATGTAGAGGTATACAGTAGTGGAATAGCTGACATAATTTTTAACTGTCAGAGGAGGATGGTACAGTCAGTCACACTGTCATCCAGCACTGTTTCTCTCTGTGAATACTTACTGCAAGTACTTTACTTAATCATGATTTATGTATTGCAGGACATGGACCACCCTCTTCCACATTACTACATTGCTTCATCACATAACACATACCTCACAGGCCACCAGCTGAAAGGGGAGTCTTCTATTGAGCTGTACAGTCAGGTGAGTATTCTGGGGATGCAGTGGCATTTGTGTATCTCACTTATATAAACAAGTTCATTTACTTGAATAGCAGAAGGGGAAACATGTCCTCGGTGATACTGAAGTTTGCCTCTACTGTTCGGGAGTTCACCCTTCAGTAAGTGCCCAGTGGCTAAAACAGACAGAAACTCAGACTTTCAGAAATTGATGCCAACAGAAAGTGTGCAAACTATTTCAGTTACCTGAGCTGCCCATACCTCCAGTAATAAAGAAACACGATAAAATCAACAAATGCACAAACATCCCACAGAGGATAAGGCAGCCAGGGGCATTACAGCCTTGGAGGCACCTATGTAAGTCAAAACTCTTTAAGTAGAAAAAGCATCAATAGAAGCTTACTGAACAAGTGTCCAGTTTGAAATCAAAGAAGCCAAAAATTTAATTTTTTTTTTGTAAAAGTGAGAATCAAGTCATCACAGAAGATGAGTAAAAAAAAAAAATCATTACAACAGCTGTTTAACAAAATCAGTGACAGAAATACATTAATTGGCATGAAGATAACTGCTATTTCCACCCCTTTGATAACCGATAGGGTATTAAAATTGAGTACAGTGTTATGAGTAAAGAAGCTGGTGATGCACAAACGTATACTGAGCTGAAGATAGTCGCTGACAATAGGAGATGAGCTGAAGATAGTTGCTGACAATAGGAGATAAGCTGAAGATAGTTGCTGACAATAGGAGATGAGCTGAAGATAGTCGCTGACAATAGGAGATGAGCTGAAGATAGTCGCTGACAATAGGAGATGAGCTGAAGATAGTCGCTGACAATAGGAGATGAGCTGAAGATAGTCGCTGACAATAGGAGATGAGCTGAAGATAGTCGCTGACAATAGGAGATTAGCTGAAGATAGTTGCTGACAATAGGAGATAAGCTGAAGTTAGTTGCTGACAATAGGAGATTAGCTGAAGATAGTTGCTGACAATAGGAGATTAGCTGAAGATAGTCGCTGACAATAGGAGATGAGCTGAAGATAGTCGCTGACAATAGGAGATGAGCTGAAGATAGTCGCTGACAATAGGAGATGAGCTGAAGATAGTCGCTGACAATAGGAGATGAGCTGAAGATAGTCGCTGACAATAGGAGATGAGCTGAAGATAGTCGCTGACAATAGGAGATGAGCTGAAGATAGTCGTTGACAATAGGAGATGAGCTGAAGATAGTCGCTGACAATAGGAGATGAGCTGAAGATAGTCACTGACAATAGGAGATAAGCTGAAGATAGTTGCTGACAATAGGAGATAAGCTGAAGTTAGTTGCTGACAATAGGAGATAAGCTGAAGATAGTTGCTGACAATAGGAGAAAAGCTGAAGATAGTTGCTGACAATAGGAGATAAGCTGAAGATAGTTGCTGACAATAGGAGATTAGCTGAAGATAGTTGCTGACAATAGGAGATTAGCTGAAGATAGTTGCTGACAATAGGAGATAAGCTGAAGATAGTTGCTGACAATAGGAGATAAGCTGAAGATAGTTGCTGACAATAGGAGATAAGCTGAAGATAGTTGCTGACAATAGGAGATTAGCTGAAGATAGTTGCTGACAATAGGAGATTAGCTGAAGATAGTTGCTGACAATAGGAGATTAGCTGAAGATAGTTGCTGACAATAGGAGATTAGCTGAAGATAGTTGCTGACAATAGGAGATGAGCTGAAGGTAGTCGCTGACAATAGGAGATGAGCTGAAGATAGTCGCTGACAATAGGAGATGAGCTGAAGATAGTCGTTGACAATAGGAGATGAGCTGAAGATAGTCGCTGACAATAGGAGATGAGCTGAAGATAGTCGCTGACAATAGGAGATGAGCTGAAGATAGTTGCTGACAATAGGAGATAAGCTGAAGTTAGTTGCTGACAATAGGAGATAAGCTGAAGATAGTTGCTGACAATAGGAGATAAGCTGAAGATAGTTGCTGACAATAGGAGATAAGCTGAAGATAGTTGCTGACAATAGGAGATTAGCTGAAGATAGTTGCTGACAATAGGAGATTAGCTGAAGATAGTTGCTTACAATAGGAGATTAGCTGAAGATAGTTGCTAACAATAGGAGACTGTAGATCAGAACATGGAACATCATCACACAAATTCATGACCTGTACTTAGACTTTGAGACCTGGTGAGGATAATGATAATGTTGACAATGATGTTGGTGATGAGTAATTAAAATGGTAAACTAGCAGCGTAATTAATTCATTTGATTCCCTGCCTGGCATTGTCTAAAAAATGTTCATTTTCAACAAACATGTTTTTTTTCCCCCGCTAGGAATGATCATAACAGTCATCATTAGATCATTTGCCTCCATAATGGCTAACTGTAGTGGGATAATTCCTCTTGACTGAATAATGATGAAAGTTTTTTCCCTCTCTTTTTATAATTATTATTGACATGGCTTCTTTACTTGGTCTGTTATTGCATTAAAAAAAAATTACATCCTTTCTTTTTATGAGTTGCTAACATGAAATTTAAGGTCTCTGTATTTCGGTTTATGGCTGACAAAGCATGCAGAAAGTTTTTTGTTTTTTTCCTGACTGTTTTTCACCACATTCTCCTTTGCAGCTTCATGGCTAGTGGGCTTTCCACGTTTTTTTTTAGTTAATTTTTGCTTCAGTTGGTTTAAAAAAAAAAGATGATAGTATTGATTTGAATGACATACTGAGTCGATAAAATACATGCCTCTACTGCTCATTGGAAAATACAAAGAGCAAAAAAAAAAGGGCAGTGTAGTGTTTGTGAGTATGTTGTGAGGGGGGGGGGGGGGGGGGGAGTGAAACTGTCACTGCTTGCCCCTTGGCAGTGTCTGATATAGGATACATTTAATTACACCCTTCTCTTGACATGATCAGAATCACCTAGAAGTCTCTTACTTTAATCATTAAAGTGGGAATTATGATGAGTGTGGATTTCACCAGCAAAAGCAGGGCTATTTATCTGGCGACCTATGGGCCAGATTTCGCCTGCAGAGGCCTAGCAAGTGGCCTGTGCATCTGTGTTGTATTGAATTAGTGATCTTTCGCATTGGGGTTTCAGTTTGGGCCTCCGACCCATGGCGATCCCCATTTTTAACAGTTTAACCCCTGGGCTAGCCCCTTCTTTTATAGCATAAGGTGATCCGAATCAGCACAAAGGAACATATCTAACAAAGCATATGTATTACCCCGCGCCCCCCCCCCCCTCTCCTTATGCTGTCAGTGCCAGACATGGTCAGTCACAACAAAAGAAATAGAAATTAGTAACCATGGAAATGAGGTGTCTGAGAAAGACTGTAGGAGAACCAAAGAGATCAAATCAGGAATGGGTCATATGAGATCAAGTCGGCACAGAACCAATTCTAACTTACATACAAAGACAGCAAATCAAATGGTTTGCTCACTTGGAGAGAATACATTCTGATGCTATACCATACAAGGCATATACAAAAAGAGGAGAAGGGAAGGATGTAGATCAAGAGGTAGACCAAGAACAAGATGGGAAGATAACATCACAGAAACTCTACAGTATTGCTATGTATCTATGGTCAAAGCAGCCAAAAGAAAACGAATCAGGACCTTGTGGTTCCCTTGACATCTGAAGAGGCAGAAGAGGATGTAAAGAAAAAGAAGAAGAACCCCTGAGTAAATTTAGTTTAATAGACCATACCTACTATATCTCTGTTTTTTTTTTTTTTTTTTTTTTCTTGGAACCTTCTCTTTCTCTGTCACTTGCTTGCTGCTCCTGTCTATGTTTTTTCTTTTGAAACTATGCATATTATTTATTAGGAATTATTAAATTCCAAATAAAGTTAAATTTTTATCCTATACATCACAGTTTGAACAGATTCTACAAAATAAAATAAAATGTTGTGTTGAACCCATTTGGAAACAACAAATACAAACTCGTTTGCCATACTTTACAGAGGAGTTAGGCCAAGTAAATATCACAAAAACATAAATCCCAACACATTTTGTTTTCTTAATTTTTCCATTTTCACATCTTCCTGTAGCTAAAATTGTTCTGGTTGCACACATATTTTTCTGTTAAAATACCTCTGTATATTGCTGTAATATGTATTTTTTTTTTTAAATGGCTACCTTAGTATTTATTATTAAAGTCTGGTTAAGAACCAGTAAGGAAATTAAGGTAAAAATTGTGAAGTCATACATCTTCCATATAGCAATAAATGGATGTATGTCATTGGGTATCTCACAGTCATTTGGAAAAACAAATAATGGCTTCTAAACTGAAATACAATTTAAATATTATCAGAATACTATAGGCCGAGAAGAAAAGAAATACTGAAATCCTAAAAGATCTCAGTATCGAGGAAGACAGGTTAGTAAACAGCATCTTATCTCAAAAAGTGAAATATTTTGGCCATGTCAAGCACCATGAAAGATTGGAAATAATAGTAGCAGAAGACATAGTGCCTTGAAAGAGAGGCAGGAGCTGACCAGCATGCAGACAGGCGCAAGATATAAGTGACATTTTGGTCAGGAAAGTGTATGAGGCGGAAAATCTGGCGAGAGGCCAAAATCTTTCAGGCAGACTTTAATAGGAGTGACATTTTGCAAAGAACCTGCTACATGATGATAATGAGCATTTATATTGCCTGGACTCGAACGTAAAGAATAAAATGACTGTAGATAATAACCCCTGTATATTATTAAAGGTGACAAAGGGCAGATGCTGTGAAACTAGCGGATGCTATGAGACTAGCTACCTCATACCATAGCTGTGTAATCAGTCAATCAAGGAAAATGCTGCATAGGATGTGGCATTTTTTAAGGGCCTTTTATTCCCTGGGAGATGGAGAAATAAATTATACTGTGCCATACCAGGTCCTCAGGTAATTGCATTCCAACTTCATAGCAAGTGGGACACCCCATAGTTGCTCTGACCCTGCGCCAGTGAAAACCACACAGAATATCCTTCACTGTCCTTTGTGAGAGTGCATTGACACAGACTGCAGTCTGAGCAAATACAGTAGCATATACACATATTCAATGCTTAAGGCGCTATCAAAGTGCCATCACAAACAGTCCAGTATTAAAAAGGCTGTGCTAAATGGTTGAAATGGGTTTCTGGGATTCTACCTATTTGATTCTCATCCTTGAGATATTAATCATGTGGACTGCAATCTTGAGGGAAAAGGGGGGGGGGGGGGGGGGGCATTGTTTTTTTTTTTTTTCAATTAAATTTTTCATCACATTCTTTTCCTCACTACAAAAGTTAACTCATTGATTGTTTTAACACAGCGTAAATGTTTAGATATAGTTTATCTCCATCACAATCTGCTGTTTGCCTGGTCCATACAGGTTTTGTTAATGGGCTGTCGCTGTGTTGAACTTGACTGCTGGGACGGCGAAGATGGCTCACCTATTATCTATCATGGTCATACCCTTACCACAAAAATCTCCTTCAAGGTAAGGATTAAATAGTCACATGTGAGTATTGTTTTTTAATGAATGATTAAATGAATGAATGAATGAATGAGTGAGTGAGTGAGTGAGTGTATTAATTTTAATCCAAATGGAGGAAAAATAACCCAACAATTAACAAATCTCCAAATATGTGGCTTACTGCTTCTAAGTTAAGCTATGTTTTGTATTCAGCTGTGAAGTGTGTACTATATAGCTTTGTGCTTGCATTTATGAGTAGGTGACTAGGTGTATATGAGAGATGGAGACAGACCAGACTAGATGGATGGACGGACCGACAGATAGACAGACTGTGAATACTAGACATACTAGCAGTCTGTTCATTTGATTAAGCCAAGATTACAATGGGGTTTGTTTTAATTTACAGTAGGTTTACTATTGTTAGATTTTTTTTTTAATCAAGCAAAATAAGATATGTCTACATAATGCCTACAAATATCAGTTATTTGGGAGCTAATTAAGTGACTGCTGTTGCTTGAGAAATAACTTCATATGTATTGACTGTCACTTATAGAAATATTAAAGGAAACAGACATCAGAGGACACACTAGACACACATAAAATTGGAAGCTTTAGTGACCACACCATAATTACAATCTACCACCTACAAATTATGACAAATCCCTACTATAGGAACAAGTGTATTGTGAGAGACACCTTCTCTAATCTATATTTCTTTGATCAACTTTTGTGAGTGCCAGTCAATACATTTCCATAAGTACTTAATATACAAAGACAGAACCATTATAAACAGACTATGCTCCTCATCTAAGTTACAGGGACCTGTTTGGAAGGGAGCTGGAGAATAGACCCACTGCTCCCAAGCATGTTATTAAATGTGACTGATTAAGGATTTCTAAAATTGGATGTGTTAGGCAAAATGACACAGCCATACTAGCCTAGCTGTAAACAACATGTCAACCATCCTTTTAAGGATGAAGGGAAAAGAACAAAATTTGAAGAAAAAAGAAGAGGATGACTAGCAGGGGAAGGAAGAGGAAAAGAAAGAAGAAGAGGAGTAGGATTGGTAATTGTAGTAGCAGCACTAACAGCAGAACCAGTATTCCTGACATGTTTTCTGCAGTGTATTTGAACCATAGTCTAATTCAGTTTACTCAGTTCAAGCCAGTAACTGAAAATGTTCTTATTTTGTTTCCACAGGGTGTAGTCGAAGCCATCAACAGGAGTGCCTTTGTTACATCACCTTACCCCATTATTTTATCCATTGAGAACCACTGTTCGTTGCCCCAGCAGCAGAAGATGGCGCAAATTTTTCTGGTAAAATAATACAGCCATTACTGAACTGACAGACAGGCAGGCAGGCAGGCAGACAGGCAGGCAGGCAGACAAACAGACAGGCAGGCAGACAGGCAGACAGACAGGCAGGCAGACACAGACATATTATCATTGTTTATTAAAAGTACATTAAAATTATACATCAGTGTAACTATATATATATATATATACTCCTACAATCTACTACTGTTTATTCATAATCTATGCAATGTTAACTAATCAAAAGTATTTGTAAGCATCTCACCTACAGATCTGTAAGTTGTGGTTTAAAACCCTAATGGAGCTGGAATTTTTTTTTTTTGATGACCTTATCTCCCTGGTTGATCAGGCCATAAAAGGGTATGAGGTGAAGTCCTGGGAAATAAAGGCGGTTGGTGTGATGTTGATCACATCACCGAGTGTCATGTGGTCAATAAAATTCATAACTGCATGCCCAATATGGTCAAAGACGTGAAAAAGGGTTCTTGTTTTTAATAAAGCATAAATATCCAGTATGGAAATATAAAAACAAACCTCTTTATATGCCAGTTATAACCCAGATGTGTTGAACAGGATATCATTGTTGAAATCACTACTGTTGCTGCACAACCAACTAATGGTAATATATATGTTGTTTCTTCTGGAACCATTACTAATATCATTATTCATTTATAGAATCCAGTTATTTGTCATAACTTATGATTCTCACATTTGAAATGAACTCATAAAAATGAGAAAGTATACTGTTTAAAAAAAAGAAACGCAGTTACTGAAAAGAACAAATACTCACAATTTTTACATTCTGCATCTTTGTTAATCAGTAAGTGAAATTACTCAAATTGGGTTGTCATCAAGCCCAAAGTCCAACATCATGCAGATTGTTCTGAACAGTTTGATCAGACCCATGACAACATGGAGGTAATGTCAGTGCAGTTAAAGAGGCTGTTGTAAACCTGTCTTTGAGGTGACAGAGCCAAATAAAGCGATTCTCTGCTGCTGCTGTTGTCACTCTGGGTCGTCCACTGCAATGTCGGTCTTCAACTAAACCAGTGGCTTGGAACTGGTGCCAAAGTCGACTGATGGTACTCTGATGCACGTTTAGATGCCTGGCAACCTGACTTTGACTTGCTAGCACCTGCAATCGGCCAATAGCAATAATAATTAAATTTATCGATAGAGGCGCCATTAATGACTGCTTGAAATTAACTGATTGTTTTGGTGTAGCGTTATCCTTCTATAGGGTTTCAATTGCGTAGGCAGTGAATAGTGTTCACCGCAGATTGTGTTGCTTTCTCATGCACACAATTGACTACTGCATTGTAACGATTACAAAAACCCACACAATTCATGCCCACATGTACACTGGACACGGTAAACAACATTTTTTTTTTCACATACCCGAGTACAGTATTTTATTTACAAACTAATAAAAATGTGCCATTAGATTACTATGTGTTTCTCGTTTTGAACAGTATATTTGAGAACCTTTCCTCCTAGACAGTTAATTAGTTAATGTTTTGGGAAAAGTGACCTTAACAGTGATAATAACTATAAGTCATTACTTTTGATTGTACATTTGTATCTTCTTCAGAGTGTCTTTGGGGACAAACTTGTTACTGACTTCCTGTTCGACACAGATTTTTTAGATGATCCACAACTGCCTTCACCAAATCAACTTAAGTACAAGATTCTCATTAAAAACAAGAAACTTAAGGACAACGAAAGTCTTGCTGCTGCTAAAAAGGTTAAAGAAATGTTATTTTATAAATGCTTAATCGTAAACTGTTGCTAGATAACATATATTCAACAGTAGAATAAAAATAATCAATAGTGCTTTTTTATTGTTCATTTTAATGAAAGTTTAAGATAATCATAGAGCTGCTGCAGAAATATAATCTGTTAGAAATTTTCATATATTTTTTTTAAATTAAACCCCCAAAAAATGTGTAGATGTTTAACTATATGAAAAAGTTTGACAGTAGATGTTGTTGTTGTTGCAGATTTACACTCAAAACAGAGCCAGCAGCATACCTTCATCAGAAACAACTTCAATCAATGATTTTGATGATGATGATGATGAAGATGAGGATGAAGATGATGTTGCAGATGGTAAGGACTAATATTTAAAATTGTGATTATATTTTCGAACAACAGTAGGAGTCTGTCAGGGCTGCCTCCTCTCCCCAACACTGTTTAATATCTTCTTGGAAAGAAATATGTCTGATGCCCTAGAACAATATCATATAACAGTTAGTATAGGAGGTCAAACTATAACAAACTTAAGGTTAATTGTTAAATGATATTTAAAACAGTGAACCTGAGGACCTTTTGAAATCTTTTTTTCGTACCTTTACCAAAAACACCTGGTGCAGTAGAATGTGGAGAACATCAAACAATTAGTTTAATGAGTCATGTAACTAAAATATTAATGAGAATTATTATGAGAAGAATAAGGTGCAAAATTAAACCAGAAATTGGAGAAGAGCAGTGTGGTTTTGTTGAAGGTAAAGGCAAAAAGAATGACACATGAATAGAGCTCTGTATTTGTGCTTTATTGATTACACTAAAGCATTTCCTGTTTGTGTGAAAGACTGTCTCAAGTTTGTCAGTAATTCAAAACCAAGCAGGGAAATGGAAAGGATGTTGCTGTAGAGCTTTGCTTATCAGAAACAATGATCTGGATATTTATTTCAACCTTTAACAGTAGCAGATTTTACATTAGCTGAAAATTTTAATTTTATGACATCAGATGTAACCAATTAAACTACATTTTTCTGGTTTTTGTTCTTCTTCTTCTTCTTCTTTTGTTCGCCTGAAATAAGTTGTCTATATCAGCAGTTTTGTCTCTTGCATAAATGTCACTGTCGTTGTTAGTTCATTCAGTGGTCCATAGAGTTTACATACCACAGTTGTTCTTTCTGGCCAAAAGGTTTGCCTTAATGTGTCAAATTCGGTGCAGTCCTGAAGTACATGCTCTGTTCTCTGGGGCACATTTCCACAGGTGCACATGGCTGATACACCTATCTTGAATTTTGTGTACATATGGTTATGTAATCGGTTGTGCCCTGTTCTGTAGAGGAGGATAAGGACTTGATCTGGTCTGTCCATAATAAAATAGTCGTCTTGTGCTGGGGCTGGTGGTTTCCTGATCGATTTAATGATTCTTTTCTTTTGGTGGTATGTGACTGGTACATCTGGCTGCACTTTTGTCGCACCTTCCCCTGCCAGTTGATCAGCTTTCTCATTTCCAGGCACTCCACAATGAGACGGTATCCACTGCATTACGACTCTTCGCTGAAGGCTGAGTTGTGTCAGCAGTGTTTGCAATTCTGGTAGTTTCCTAGACTGGAGTGCTTCAAGTAAGGATTTAGCATCTGTCAGCATTACCACATACTGTAAGCCAAGATTGGTATTTAGCAGTTTCTCTGTTGCTATCTTGATAGCTTGAATTTCTGCAGTATAGTTATTGGTTTTTGTTTTGTTTGGTGTTTGGTTAGTTGCCTGATGGGCTACAAAATAATTTAACTTATTTTGGTTGGCTGCGGGTGTAAAACGTTAAGGAACAATGATCTAGCACGTTCTTTTATTTCGACATATTTTCTTTGTCTTTTTTTAGTACTTATCAGTATCTGTAAGTTTCTTTATTTCTCATATAATAAATAAAAAGAAACCGCAGACAAAGAAAGATGTCAAAACTTAGAGAGAATTATCAACAAAAGTATGAAAAAGAAAACTTTTTTATGGAAATAGAATTAAGAAAACATTGCAGTGGCGGAAAGAAGTTAAACTAGCCAGACAATTAGCAAAGTCAAAGCTGGGGATCAAAACCAAAAGGAAGTCAACCAAAAACACCTTCAGGTGTTAAGATTTTAGGTATATCATTATCAGTAGACTCAACCTAATGCCCAGAGAGAACATCTTATGATATTCTTTTATTACTTTTTTGTTGTTGTTACTACTGAAAAAAAAAAATGTTATTTTTTCAGCTGTCAAAGAACTACGTCGATCAGTGGATAGCCAGGACAGTCCAACACCTGAACATGAAGACAAAGGCAAGAGTGATCAGCCTAGGTCACGTACTGATTCTATGGAAGAACTTAGATCTAGGTAACAGAACATTTGTCAAAATATGTATTTTTTATGCTTTCAAAATGTACTATGATATTTTTTCCAGGAAATAGACGTTTTTAAAAATGAACAGGCAGATAGACTGGCTGGTTTCTGCACCACTCGGTGGTGATGCATGAGAAGCCAGATGGTTCTGCACCACTCGGTGGTGATGCATGAGAAGCCAGATGGTTCTGCCCACTCAGTGGTGATGCATGAGAAGCCAGATGGTTCTGCACCACTCGGTGGTGATGCATGAGAAGCCAGATGGTTCTGCACCACTCGGTGGTGATGCATGAGAAGCCAGATGGTTCTGCACCACTCGGTGGTGATGCATGAGAAGCCAGATGGTTCTGCACCACTCGGTGGTGATGCATGAGAAGCCAGATGGTTCTGCACCACTCGGTGGTGATGCATGAGAAGCCAGATGGTTCTGCACCACTCGGTGGTGATGCCTGAGAAGCCAGATGGTTCTGCACCACTCGGTGGTGATGCATGAGAAGCCAGATGTCGCAGATTCACAATTAGATTATCATGGTCTCAGAAGGATGGTGCAATGGGGAGTGACCAGGAAATCTCGCTGACACTTCTCACTCCGAGGAAACACAAGATGGACATGCAATCAGACTGCTACTGGTACTATCAGAACTGGAACTCTTCGTGCTGCTGAAGATGAGGATGGAGCACATATGGGGATGTTCTGAGTGCTGTGATGTCTTTTTTTGAAACAACTTAACTCTGTTGTTTTAACCCTGAGGTTTGTGTTCTCCCAAACTCTTGTTTGTTAATATGTTCATTTCTAATTCTGCTTTTTTACCTGTTCTGATGTTGATTTCTTGGTCCAGTTGTTGTTATTGAGGATCCCTGGAATGTGAAATGGTCAACTTTCTCTAGCTCTTCACCACCAATGACAACTGCTGGTCTATCAGTTGCATCTTCCACCATAATCCTTCATTAGTCTGAATTCAGCCATTAGTGTTTGCAGATAGTAAATTATGCACTTCTTCCTCTGAATGTACTGTAATTGCAGTATCATCTGCAGAAAGCTGCTCTTTGATGAGACTTAATCTTGGCAATCTAGTATCGACAGTTTTATGTCTTGTCTTGGCTGTCTACTTGTTGACTGAATCAGTAGCTGAGCTGCATTGTTCCATTGTGGGAAGCTGCAGTTTATGTCCTAGTGCCAAATGTACTTGATAATTTGGGCTGTGCAGTTATTGTTGATTCATGTACTCTTTATGTATTACAATTTTTCTGTAACCATACTTCTACAATTGTCATCATACAGTTACTTTCTGCAAGTTGTATTCTCACTAAATGACCAGACCAGGTTAAGTGTGACTTCCAAATGTGTTCTACTCATTCAATATGTAGATTTTTTTGTTTCAATTCTCTTAAGCATGTTCATGCAGTCAGATACGATTACTGCATGTGTGACATAAGTTAGTTTAGTATGTAGGACTAAAGGATTTGTTGTGTTTCTTTTTTTCATTAGAGATGCTGGTGATACTTTTAACAGTAAAACATCACGACCAAAAAGTCACCCAGAGTTGGACTGGCATTTTGAGGAAGAAATAACAAGTCTTAAAGTAAGTGTCTACAGTTGTTTAATTTAGTAACTTGTTACTTGTGTATGCTGTGTAATAAACATAATCGAGAGGATTGAATTCTGTTCTAGAGTGGTGTGGTGAGTATCATGCTGGCCATTTTTTCTCCTCATAATACTTGCCATCTATACAGATGGTTCAGTGTTTAGAGGAAAGTGAAGTGCCTGGGGGTTCGTAGTGAAAGCCAGTTTAAAATCTTTAGTGTTAGCCTTGCATACGACACCACACCATCTAGCATGAGAATGGAGGTGGAGGCGGTAACTGTAGCTTTCTGGTGGCTAGAGAACAAGATGCACACACATGTCATATTTGTAACAGACTCTGAAACCATGCGGAGATAGGTAAAGACAGGGATGCTTCGAGTAGAGTGGCAAGCTTCACTGGAAAGGTCACGGGTAGTGAGCCTACTTTGGATCTTTTCTCTAGGCCATCCTGGCATGGTGGGTAATGAACAGACAGACAGATTGGCTGGATCTGCACCACTCATCATCATCATCAGGTGCCTTGCCGACTGGCGTGGGCGATCATGCCTCTCCATAATCTGCGATCTCCTGCAGCATGTATCAGTTAGTGTGCCGACACACCTCCATGCCATACAACAATCTGTCAAGCATCTTCTTTTGTCGTCTTCCTCTATCTCTCCTTCCACATATCTTTCCAGTGGTCACAACATGTTCTATTTTCCCTCTTAGCTGGATGATGGTCGGGTATCACCCGTAGAAACTGATGCTCCCTACCGGACAAGGTTGATTCCACTGGAATCCCCATTCACGTCGTTATCTGAATATGTAATATTTTGAGGCATGATTTTCTTGGGATAGTACAGCAGTGGTTTCCCCTTGCCTTCCGCCGGTTTGTATATGGTTTGACTCCAATAGCCTTTGTCTAAAGAGACTTACCCTGCAAGGCAGCAGGGGGGAGAGGTTATGGCGCCTCTTACCCGCCAATGGCCATGTCGTAGAATTTTGAGGTATTTTATAGAGTTAGCTGTCCCACCAACTAACTCGCCTCCTCTCAATGACCATCACCTGTTTTGGTCCACGGCCACTTATTCAATATATTCGTAGCTAACCTCTATATCTAGAGGCCTTTCTACCATCCGCCACAAGGTGAACGCGCCTAGTAGTAGGACAGGCTTCTACCCCAGGTATGCACCACTAGATGGTGAATTGATACATGACAAGGCAGATGTGGCCAAGGCCCATTAGGAACAAGAAACAGAATCAGCAGAGATAGAAGATTAATATGGCCTGCAGAAAATGAGGCATCTGGGTGTAACCAGAGTTTCTGGCCGGCTGACTAAGAGGAAAGGCAAGACAGACATATAACCAGATTGTGACTGGTACCATCAGTATTGGAACTCTGCACTGACTGCAGAAGATGAGGACCGAGCATGCATGGAAATGCCCAGAGTGCTGTATGTCAATTTATGACTCAGCTCAACTCAACTCAACTTCCTATAATGTTTCCTTGTACCCATTTTGATTTGGGTCACACTGGGAGCCTAGGTCAGTTTTGAAAATCCTCATCATTGGAGATTCAAACCTTTTTTCTCTAGCCTGGCCGGTAGGAATGTTAGTCACTGTGTCATGCAGCCTTCCCTACATGATATACAATACCTTCTCATTACAGATTGTTGCAATCAGGAAGTAAACATTAGGACTGGTCCCTTCCCTTCCTAGCAAGAAAAAACATAGCCCACCTTTAGAACAGGGTGGATACTGCTAGCCCAACAGTTTCTTGAAGCCTCGGAGATGAGGTTTTACAGAAGGATCCTTAGAATTTATTAGACAGCCAGCGAACGAGAGCAACCCAGATGTTTTGAAAGAGGCAAGGGCTTGAAGTTAACTGATCAAAAACATCAGAAAGAAGCAGTCATCATTTTTAGTCATGCAATGAGAAGATGAAAACTGGAACATGTTAGCACTGGAAAGATCTGTGGACAGAGAAGGAGAGGGAGACAGCATGAGAAGATCCTTGACAGCCTTCTGTCGTGGCATGGAGGGGTGACAACATTGAACTGATACACACAGATGCAGATTGTGGAGAGACATGATCGCCTATGCCAGTCTCCAAAGTACTTGATGATGATGATGATTGCTAAAATTGTTGGTTGCAAAAACTACACAAGTTTTAAAATATTGCAGTTTCTAAAAGTATATAATTTCTAAAGGTATAGGGATTTTACCGATGAAATAAAAAATAATTTTAGTTAGTGAAACATGGTTGGCAGTGGTGAGACACTTGCCTGTTAGCTAAAGGTTAAAATCTACATAATGGATTTTATAATTAAATTAGGGTTCTCAGGTCGACTCAACCTACAAGAATATGTGACCAACATTATGTAGATCACATCAGCCATTGATTAGCAAATTTCTCTGTTCAAATACATCTCTAGGACTATATGACTATTGGATGAGGGGCATAATAGGAGTCCTTTACTTTACTGTTGTACATTACTTCTTCTTCTTTCGTTCGCATGAAATAAATTGTCTATATCTGCAAAGCTGTCTCTAGTATGAATTTCACTGTCTTTTGTAATTCACTAAGCGGCCCGTAAAGTTTGACTTCCACAAGTGTCTCTTTTGGCCAAAGGTTTTGCCTGAAAGCGTTGAATCTGGGACAGTCTTGAAGGATGTGATCTGTTGTTTCAGGTGCCAGGCCACAAGTAAACATGGCTGATTGGCCAATCTTAAATTTGTTGTACATGTGGGAGCGAAGTCGATTGTGCCCTGTTCTAAGGCGAAGGATAATGACTTGCTCTGGTCTGTCCATAATATGGTAATCATCTTGTGCCAGTTTCGGTGGCATTCTGATTGATTTGATCATTCTCTTCTTCTGTTGATAAGACACTGGTATGTTAGGTTGTTCTTCAGTTGCACCTTCCTTAGCTAGTTTATCAGCTTTTTCGTTTCCAGGAACTCCACAGTGGGAAGGTATCCACTGCATTACTATGTTGTAACATTAATCAACTAAACTTTCTTCTAGTGCCTTTTTTTGATGTATTGTTTTATCAACTGTTGCTGTTTACAGGTGCAGCCTAAAGCAAAAACAAAGAAAGCCAGTCAGATAGCAAAAGAATTATCTGATCTAGTTGTCTACACTCATGCTGTAAAGTTCAGAGGTAATATGATTTTTATTTTTATTCTTACTCTCTGTTATTGGATTTTGTTGGTTTTTGTTTTCATCAGCAATATCCTGTTGTAGTCCTATGTTTTATTGTAGGCCACCATTCAGTAAAAAAAAAAAAAGTAACGAGTGTTCTTTACAGGACATTGTAGAACCAACCCCAGCTTTTTTTTTGGCTGTTGTGATTTTTTCTAGACAGATTTATGTGTAGTAGTTTGCCATTGCTTTCTGGACGGTCGGCTTCTTGATGCCAGTGTCAAAACCACTGCAAGGCCCACAGCTGGGGTCGAACCCCGCACCCCAGCATTATGAAGCACATTCACAACGCCTAAGCCACTGATGCCGACACTATTTTGTAAGCCCCTGATAAACATCAAGCAGTCTTAAATAAAGGATGACTATAGCTGTCTTTTCTGCCTGTCCATATGTGGAAATTGAATTTTCTAACAGACTTAAAATGGTGTTCTTTCATCTAATTTGAACTGTTTACATTTTTCAGCATAAATAATAAAACATTCATTTTGAAACCATGTTGAATATTGAAAGACCACATCATGCCTCTGTTTCTGATTATTATATATGTTTATATATATGTGTACATGCATGAGAGAAAGAGAGAGAGAAAGAGAGAGAGAGGGAGAGAGAGAATGAGAAAGAAAGACAATGGAAATGAAATATTCAGTAATAGTTGTATGCAAGGAATCCTGCCTCATGGGTACAAATTACATTAACTCCCCTGCTTTCTCTCAGATGTTGGGATGTAGGAATTCTGACTGTTTCAATGTAGAAGTTCTGACTGTTTCAATGTAGCAATTCTGACTGTTTCCAGAGCAAACCAATTATGAATGTGCTCAAATTGCCTCCAGTTAAAAAATAAAATGGCTTAGAATTAAACCTGTCCATGATTCACATACTACAATCAAGAAATCTTAAAAGACTATCAACCTCATTCATTACTGATTTCCTTTGGCACAACTAGTTATGTTTGTATGCAGTTATTCAATACTCTGCCTATGCTGTTAGACCAACATTTATGACAACAAAAGACAGTATAGTCAGTATCACATTGGCCATGTGTACGTGTCCAGACAGTTTGCTCATATCCATTTTAAGTTGACTTATTTACCTATATATTCACTTTATGAGTTTAGAGTTCACCTAAGATTTGTATTTGTCCAGGACAAAATATGTTACTATTGAATAATAAACTCACTACTTTAGCATTACAGCACATTATTGTGAACTCTTATAAAAAATAAAATGAGAACCAAATAATATCTAATGTGTGTGTATGTGTGTGCGATTCTGTGGGTATATTTGTGAGTGGATAATATAGTAGCTATCTAAAGTATAGTGACAAAATACTTGCCTGCTGGCCTGAAGATCCTGAGTTTGAATCCACACTGAGACCATTATCTTGTATAATTGACCTCACCTTTAAGGTTGACCCAGCTTTAAATGGGGATCAGAAAATGGGACACAAAGGTGGCAAGCATAATGCTAAAAAATCAAACACTGATTGCCAGCTGGTCTGTAAGAATATGGATCTACTTTTTCAATGTCTGTATAGGTCTGAACATGAGCCCAAATACATCTCTGAAACAAAAGAAGGTCCCCTCCAGAAGAAGCATTCTTACAGCCAGTATGGGTACCAGCCCTAGTACTCCAACTCTTGTCCCTGGTGGAATAGGTAAGTATTGAATTACATTACTGATCAAGATAACATTTGTAAAGAAAATGACATTCTCTTCAGCTTCCTCTTCATGCTTTCATTTTGATAAGTTGCACCTGTTAGTGACCCAGCGTGCTACCAATGCTGGACCTGGACACTGAGAGGAAAAGAGAAAAGAAGAATTACAACAACAGAAATGAGATTCCTGTGAAGGGCTTTCAATATAACAGGAAGTGGTATGATCAGAAACGATGAAATTCGAAGAAAAATAGGAGCAGCATCAGTTCTAGATTTTATTAGAAAACAACAAGTAAAAAGGTTTGGTCTTATAACATGGATGTCAACAGACATTATATCAAGACAAGCAATGATGCACAGAATAGGTGGGGAGTGCAACAGAGACTGACCATGCAAATTATGAACAGAGGGAAAAACAGTCCCATTTATAAAGCACACAAATGGGCACATTCCTATTTTATTTATTTTTGTGTGTGACTATTTCTGTGTGTGTGGGGGGGGGGGGGGGGGGGGGGGGGGGAGTTCTCCAGAATTTGTTCATTTGTCAGTTTAACCATGCATCTGGCTGAATACACCTATTAATAGTATCACATTTTGAACATGAAAAATTCTTTATTTATTGTCCAGATTTCAAAGCCATGTAATGTTTTACAGTTTATAAACAGTAAACTCCATTGTAATTACATTTTAGTAACCATGACATGTTTTTAAAAAAAATCCTAAATGAAGCTGTTATTGTGTGTACTGAATCCTTTGCTAGCCTTTCTGTTACTTTCTGTATTTTAACAAAATACTTCTTTAAACTCAAGACTTTAATTTTTATGTTGTATGAAAAAATGAATTATTTAATATAGCTCTGTATTGACATGTTGCCAGATAAACCAGATGCAAGTCTACAGGTGCTGACCCCTAGAATTAAACGGTGTGATGTTCCTTCCTGCTACCTGGTATCATCGCTCAATGAGAACAAGGCAAAGCAGCTCTGTCGACGAAGTCCATTAGCAACAGTTGCATATCCTTTTGCTATCTTATAATTTAGTTCAAATTAATAAGTTTAGCACACTGTTTTCATGTCATTGTGACTAATAAAGATAGAGTGTAAGGCTCCTATTTTTGACCAGATAGCATTCAGTTGGTGATGCTGTAAATATCCTCAACTTTTAAATTTCTGGAATATTATTTTCTGATGGTCTTTACAACTGGCTGACTCAGCCTGTGAATCATGCAGTCTGTGAAAAAGAAAGATCCATATCTCAAGGAAGATTTGAACCCAGGACCAGCAAATGAGTACAGTCTATGAATTACAGGTTTCTAAAAAAAAAAATTTGATTTCTAACCTAAAAGACACCATCGACATTTGACTAGAATATATAATTTAATTTACAGGGATGTGTATATCTAGCTGTTGATTCAAATGGATAATTATTAAATATGATGAAAAACATATAGAGGCATTTATGGTGTGATGAGAAAAATTAGTTTGATATTTTTTTTTAAACATGAACAATTTCTGAAGAAAAATAATGTCAGTAAAAGAACATTTCTCAAAGCGTAGCACAAGTAAAGACTTGTGTAGCTTATAGCTTTGTCATATCCGCAGATGTTGAACACACTGAAAATCAATAGGCCGCTAGAAGACAGACTACTGACGTAAAGAGGAAGCATGATACCAAGAAAAATTATTATAAAAACAGACATACAAATCTTTAATGCTGATATAAAGGTAATTTTTTTTTAAAGGAGTGACACATAACTTCCGGTGTAAACAGCCACAATGGCGGTACGCTTTTTCGTCCGTTGAAGCGAATGGCGCAAATTAGCTATTTTCGCTCACGTATAATGTGAAAGTTTCATCGGAATGGGGTCTGAACCATGCAATGGAGTACATGCACGTGAGTTTAGACTTCCCTCAGGGTGTATTCGACGTCCGATGGCGACTATTTACAGGAGATCGCCAGCACTGTGCACAAAGAACTCGATCGAATTGCCGCCTGGTGTACAACCAGCAGCATGACGATGGAGGTGATGGCAGTGACACAAGCGCTTGCCTGGCTTGAAACACAAAAATACACCCACGTGTGTATACTCAGTGATTCAATGAGTATGATCCGGAGGGTTCAAGCAGGTTCAGTGCGAAGACAATGGCTTGAATCATTACAGAAGTCCACTCTGCGTGGAGTCACCTTTATTTTTGTTCCGGGACACGCAGGCGTCGATGGAAATGAAAGAGCTGACAGGTTGGCTGGATCCGCTATCACTACCGACGGTCAGCCTATGGATCATGCTGATATTATCAATGCCCTCCGAGAAATGGGAAGGATAGAGGACTTTGGTGGCAGTGAATCCACATCACTCGCCAGAATGGCAGACTTGGGAATTAAGATCGGCACAGCAAAAAACGAGACGCACACCAGGCACGCCAGAAGACTTGTTAATCAACATAGAACTGGTACTATTAGCCATCGGACGTTGGGGTTCATACTGAGGGGAGGATCTGAGCACCTATGGACATGTCCGGAGTACAATGAGGATAACCCAACTAACTAACTAACTAACTAACTAACTAATATAACTGATAACTGTGAGTAGATGTGATCAGGAGTATTCAGGCCAACCCACAGATGAAGATCTTTCTGATGTTGAACAAGTGACTCATTTTTTCCAATGATACAATTGTCCTAAACACAGGCCTTATAATTATAATTAGACTAACTTACAATTGTGCATATTTTGAGAGAACAAAAATAGTTCCACCTCAGTGCATAAATAATTGCCTAGTGAAGTAACTCCATTCATTTTACCTTAACTGAAGCTCACCCATACTGAACGCCAGTTGATGAGAACCTATCCAGCAGGAATGAGAATAGATTCCTCCAATTTCAATCCAGTCATTTTTTGGGCATTTGGAATCCAGATGGTGGCCCTGAACTACCAAACAGAAGGTGCACTTTTTTTTCTTTTTTTCTCATAAAGTATCTGATTTTGTGAATTTCTCCTGAAACAGTTGTTAATTTTTGAGTCTATTAATCATTGCGTTGGTGAGGCGTGGCATCCACCTTAAATGCTAGAGGTCCTGGATTCAGGCCCCGGTAAAGGGCTGGGATTTTTCATGTGGGCTGCCAGTAATATCCTCTGGTCTCTGGGTAGTGAGATCAGATGTCCATGTGTATTATTGCACATGTAAAACATATCCCTTGGCAGTTGGAAATTGAAAAAATTAGCCTTAACAGCACTGCCCGGGCAAATTTGGTGCTAAAAATATACCTAGAGTATTTCAGGATTTTTTGCTGGTGCTATAGAGTTTGTGCACTGTGCTAAGATTCTTCACACTCAGGCTTGAGCTAGAAGTAGAAAGGAGCACTTATGGGTTACTATTCTTTTGCCATGATGTTGATAAGTTGTTCAAACCAATCATCACCTTGGTGTGCCATTATTCAGAGCTTACATTAGATTCCTCTATTCTGTTCTAGCACATGGAAGTTTTTGTTGTTGACATCTCTAGCATCTCTCTTAACATTCTTCATGGAGTTTCTCTTAGATGTATTTTCTCAGTCCATTGGTTTCTTGTTTCAGTGCCTGTTTTATGTTTCTTTGTATTCTTCATTTCCGACTTAAAAATAATAATAACTGAGTATAGTAAATAATTAAAAATGCATTTTAAAAGTTTAAAAAAAAATAAAAGTCACAACAATTTACTTTGACAGTATAACGAATTAATTTCTGTCTATAGATGTGGCGATGTCACTCAATACAGCCATGTTTGAACAGAATGCACGAAGTGGTTATGTTCTCAAACCATCTGTAATGTGGGATAAAACTCACGTCATGTTCAACCGGTTCAACCCATGGGACAAAGAGTTTGATGGATTGCATACTACTATTCTGACCTTGCAGGTTTGTTACTCTTTACAGTAAACATTTACCTTCTATCAGTTCTCTTTTATTGAATATCAAGCTGGTTATGTGTACACTTGTTCCTACAGTGAGACACTCTCATAGTTTTGAGGTGTCAGTTCCATTCCTGGTATGGTAACTATAGCTTTCAGTTATATTTTGAGGGCATCCTTGCGCAGGAATTAGGTCATAAGAGAAACATTTAGCATAGGACCAATTCTAAATTTTATAGAAAGACAGCAAATCAAATGGTTTGCCCCTCAAAGAAAATGCCTTGTGACACCATACCACATAAGAGATGCACCAAAAGAGAAGGACAAAGAGCAAGAGGTAGACCAAGAATAGCAATGAAAGATAACATCAGAGAAATTCTACAACAGCTTGATGTATCTATAGTCGAGGCATTCAGAAGAGCAAGAAACAGAATCATATATCTCCCTCAACACCTGAAGTAGTAGAAGAGGAAAGGGAGAAAAAGGAAAAAGTAGTAGAAGAGGAAAAAGAAAAAGAAATGCATCCTTCTATTTCTTATATGCCAATAAATACATATCTTTTTGTTCATTGTACTAAAGCCTCAGGGGTTTCCCACCTGTTTAGAACTTTACTTTTTTAAAATAGATCTAAGCATTTGTTCAGAAATTCATTATCATTTCAAAGGCTAATAACATGTTTCTGACCACCTCACCCATGGGGTGTTGACTGGTCTATAATATGGGACTAGCCCTATTTGCTTAATGAGCTCCAAGAAGTGAAAAGAATCCTTCACTTTTTACTTATAAATTGAATGTTTATTATTATTTTTATTAATCTTTTGCTTGTATTAGGCACTGCTATAAATTTTTATGTGTGTTTTTTTATTTAGGTGATATCTGGCCAGTATGTGTGTCAGAACTACTCAACAAATGTGCAGGTGGAAGTCGAAGTCATTGGCATCCCAGTGGATTGTGCAAAACAAAAGACAAAAGTGGTTCCTAAGAATGCACTGAATCCTATCTGGAATGACATCTTTACATTCCAAGTGAGTGCAGAAGTTTACTTAAGTCCCATAACTGTATGTATGTGCGTTTTTTGTGTGCGGTGCAGCTGGTTAGAATGCATAGGCTGTCCTGTGGGAGACCCAGGTGATGGAGGCTTTTTCTGTTATGAGCAATGATAAACATTCTAACTTGCAAAGTTCATGGTGACTGCACTATGTGGCCTTGAATCTTCAGGCTCAAGAGCCCCTTGTCCGATCTCCCCCAGAAAGTGGTACATACAAGCAGTAACTACAGTGTATCTTCGTGTACATGAACACATGCATATATTTGTGTGTCATTTTTTTTTCTCAGTAAACATGTGTCTTTTTGTCAGGTATTTTTTTTTAAATCTACATTGTGTGTGTTATTAGGGCTCATCTGGAAGCACAGAAAACAACACTGTAACCTACTAAGTGTGTCTGCTAAGAAGTGATTAGGGAGGGTTTTTACATTGGACACAATTGTTGTCTCCCAACCAGTGAAAGGTAGCAGGAAAGAGCATCTTTCAAGCATCCTCCCAAATGGGAGTCCCAATAGCTTAATGTCATAACAGCCAACTAATTAGGAGTGTTTCCTATAAAATCAGTGTGCATCTACCAGAGAGGCAAGCAGGCAGCGGTTTGCATATAAATAAGCCAGATCTGTCCATGCAAAACTAAAGTTTTGGAAGAAGACTGAAGTCTATAAGGGGGTGAGCAACCAGAACTTTCCACATAGTTTACAGTCGGTGAATGTGAAGAAGAACCCATTCAAATGTAATAGAAAATGTTTCTGAAGGTAAAACTAGTCAGCATGATATTAACCACATCATCAAAGTTCTGACTAGTGTACCAAAATATAAGTTTAGTACCATTTATTTGCTATGCCTCAAAGTATGGGATATGGTCATTTACTAATTGCAGACTGCATTGAAGTTAAGTGGTTTCACCTCACTTCTTTGAAGTTTGTGGTATTCACTCTGATGAAGCCTAATACACATCTAGCTAATTTAAAGACTGAAAGAGGCTCCCAGCATATCTCCATAATGATGGTAAACCTTCAGCACCCAAGCCTTGCGTATGATTGAAACGGGTATGCTGCCTCCAGATCAGGATGAAAAGAGTCAGAGTACATCTGCCTGAGAACCAAGGAATCAACAGTCGGCATACAAATAAGCCAGATCTGTGAAATGGATGTACACGCAAAACTCAAGATTTTGAAAAAACACTCAAGTCCAAAGGTGGGCCAAATAACACCCAGGACTTTCCGTCAGAGTTTACAGCTGATGAATATGAAGAAGAACTAATATATATGTGAATGCTGTTAGTTGGTTAGTTGAAATATTATCCTCAAAACACATCAGACCATTCAGTCCAAAAGTGCTTGGATCCTCTTTTCAATAAATCCTTCAGCATGAAGCCACTGATTACACCAGTTCTGTTTTGATTTCTTATTCTTCTTTGGCTTCTGGCATATTGCTCTCATCTGACCACACCCCATTTAACTTGCTGTTCTTGCAGTCTTCTGGTCATAGTTGTGGATTCAGTCACCTGTTACTTTTAATATTATATCAAAATATACAACTTAAATGATACAACATGAAATGTGATAATGATGTTCCTGGAATATAAAAACTGATACCTTGCAGTTTTCAGATCCATGATCACAGAGTGGCTAAATATGTTGTCTTGCCAAACTAGTAATCGGGACTAAGGTTTAATTTTTAATTGTTCCGGACTGCCAGATTGGCCTGGCTTAAAATAAGTACCAGGAAATGTAGAGAAACAAATCAGCCAGCATGATTATTGATCAAGTCATTTAGTAGAATGATCTGCTCAGTTTACCATATTTAGCATTTTAACATTGTAATTAATTTTAATCAATTTTATGTCACTATTACAATGTATAATGTTTTTTTTTTAAATTACATTAGCAAAGTGTCACTGGTTTTCATCTTGTTTCTGTGATGACTTTTTATTTCAGATTTTGTTCGCAGACCTTGCATTTATCCGTTTTGTAGTGATTGATGCAAGCACTAGTCATATGGTCACACAACGTGTCATACCTTTGAAGTGTCTTCGGCCAGGTTACCGACATGTACGGTTGAGAAACAGCTCTGGTCAACCTCAAGAATTGTCCACCTTGTTTGTGTATAGCAAGCATGAAGAAGAGCTACTGGAGACACGCAATGGTTCTGATGTAGGTCTGTCAGTCACCTCCACAAAGCGAATGTCCATCTTCTCTAAAGTGAAAGAGCTCTCTGAAACAAGCAAGCAAGACTCTAAAGATGTAAGTAAATTAATCTTCTTTATTTATCTACCTTGCTTCACATCTGTGGGACAGGAAGTTAGTTCAGGAAGAAAGGTCTGTAATTTAAAAAAAAATAAAAACTGCTTTTTTCACAGAGTTTGGATTGAGTCACTGCAGCTTTCTGCTTGCTTAAGAACAAGATGCACACATATTGTGAGATCATAATGGACTCACAAAACATGCTGAGGAAGGTGGAGACTGAATGTTGCATGCAGAGTAGTAAGATTGCTTCAGAGGTCACAGTAGTGAGCATGCTTTGAATCTTTTCTACAGAATATGTAGATATATTGAAGTACAAACAGGCAGAGTGGCTGGTCTGTGCCACTTGGTGTTGAGCTAATGCATAGCAAGGTAGATGTAGTCAGACCCATTTGAAAGCAAGTGAACAATGCAGAAGAGCAAGTAGATCATCCAAGCCTGTGTAGAGAATGATGCATCGGGAAGTAACCAGGAAGTCTGGCTAACATTCATGGCTTAGGGTAAGCAGAGATTGACATTTAAAGACTGCTACTAGATCCATTAGTACCAGAGGTCTGTGCTGGCTGCTGCAGATATGGATGGAGGACTTATTGGATTATTCCAAATGATGTGATGTTTGTTTTGAATTTAAGTAGTCAAATCATTTCTTTCATATTATTTTGACTTTTTTTTCTGCTGTATCTGAGTCAGCATTGTCTCATCGTGATTGTTAAACTACTTTTGTTTTCTGATATTATGATTTCCTTGTCTATATTTTTATATTATTTTTATATTAAGACATCCTTCACATCCATTTTTCATATCAATATTTGTTCTGATACCAGTTTAAAATGCATGATGTTTGTTTGTTTGTTTCTTTGTTTTAGTATCCAGAAGCCATGAGTTGTTAACCCTTAGGCTCGGTATTATGGATATCGCAACCTTTCGGCCTTGATTCCATTGTAAATACCGTAAATCTGGGAGAAATGTGGCTTTTCTGCCTACCCCCGGGAGTGAACCCAGACCACAAGGAGAATATGCATGATGAAATAATATTCAGAATATAGGCTATCAGATTACAAGATTTTGCTCTGAACACATTGTCTCCCTTACATGTGACAATAATGTTTTTTAAACTTCAGGTCTTGATCTCTGCGGGTACAAAACTGAAACGACGCATGTTCTTTATCAGTGTTTTTGGAGTTACTGCTCCTGACGAGTATATAATACTGAAGGTTACACAAGATTCAACAGTTGCTGATACAATAGCTCAAGTAAGAACTTATATTAAAAATTATTTTTAAAAACAGCTTAACCCTTTTTTAATAAATAGACAGACAGATAGAAATGAGAATTCAACAAGCCAACATTGTCACGTACCAACTTGCTCCAATTTTAAAATACCCTGCTATCCCAATAGAGACAAAAAGACAAATTATAAATACAGTATTTATTCCGACTTTAGGTTACAAATGTCAGACTTGGACATTGACAAAACAACACGAAAAAAAAACTAACCATCTGTGGGATGAGATGTTTGAGATTGGCTGTGAAAAAACCAGAAAAGATTGAGTGAGAAATTACATGATCACAAGAACTGTTGGAACAACACTGTTCATCAAATTTAGTGAGAAACAAAGAATGAAATGGTTTGGTCTTCTAATGAGAATGAAACCAAGAACATACAACTTGAAAATCAAAACATCAAGGGGCAGTGAAAGACCGAGAAGAAAATGGACTGAAGGAGTCACTGACACCTTGAGACTGCATAACATCACGGCATATCAAGCGACTGAGCGCGCCCTAGCTCGGCTGCCAATCATCTGATAAACTGCGATGCCTAGCGGCATAAGTAGATCATGACAAAAGGAGAAGAAGGACCTTTTTTGATACCTTTCCCTTTTTAATGTCTTTTTTTTTTCTCTTTATACCTTTTAATTGAAGAAGCTTGTTGCAAAACTGTGTCTAAAAACAGTGTTTTATAATGTGTACTATTAAAATACTAAATGTTTTTTCTTTATTTTATTGTTCATTATTATTTTTTTTTTTTTTTTAAATAATAACAGGCTCTAACTAAAGTGGGTCGGCTGGATGATAAAGTTGCGGATTATGTCCTAGTAGAAGATGTTCAAAGTGGCTGGGAAAAAAAGGATCAAGAGAAAGCTAGCTGTCAGAGAATTCTTGATGTTGGGGAGAAAGTTCTCGCTGCGCAGAACAAGTGGAAGGGAGCCGGAAAGTTTATCCTTCGCAGACTCAGTGATGTAAGCTTTGTGTTCAGTGTTTGTAAACACACTACAAAAGCATGCTAGAATGTGCTAAATTTGCCTGTAAGTCTTTAAGGACCTATTACTTGTAATTACATGTTAAACAAGTAAAAAGTCATAAGTAAACATAAATATGCTATGAAAAAATATAACAAGTAATCCTGTTTACACAACCATAAGATACATATGGGATATGGTGTTTAGTCCATATTTTCAACGAACAACAGGGACAGCATAGTTTTACACCTTTATTTTTGCCATGTGCTTTTAGTCTGGATCACCACCAGAGATTATTTGGTGTGAACTGATTTTAATTGCTTTAGCAACCAATTATATCAGCACTGATTACATTCAAACATGCACAAGGGTGGGACAGATTCTGACCTTTTCAGCCAGAATGGAAGAAACTAAATATAAACTACGAATTTAGGATATTCCTGTTTTCTACTGCAGGCAACAAATACAGCCTCTATCCACCCTTTAAATACAAATGACTACCTTTCTAAGATATTTTCATTACTTTTTTTTATGCCTACCAGTATGTTTCAAATTGTTACATTTATATCTTTGCTCTACCTTTTTTATCTGGCATATACCAACAGTTCTTGAAGGAGGATACAACTTATAATGTTTACCTGCTTGAAGTCACAGTAGGATGAAGTGATCAGTTTTAAACATTTTATAATAAAACTGTTATGTTATGCTGTTACAGTCAGCGTCATTGCAGACTTGGCATTCCCATAGTTGGTCAGGTTTTGATGCAGCAGCCACCCCAAGGTACCTGTACTGACTATTCCAACACAAAGTTAGTTATAATATCCCATATCTTGACCATGAGGACAGCATAGATATGCTTTGCCAGATTATACTTGCAGGTCATATGGTTAGAGTTAACGTCAAAGACCCATCATTATTCACTGTACAGCATTGATTATATGAGCTCTGCCTATGTCTATCCCTGTGTGTGTTATGCTTTTTAAAGGAATGGATTACACCAAAAGCATTTTAATTTAAACAGCTGACTGATTACAGATTTGTAGTAGGCTGTGAATCTCAGGAGTACGGAATGCTGAAGAAGAAGAGATAGGGACTATCTTTGGTAGTGGATGATGGGAAAAATATTGTTTTTATTTGGAATCATGCAGCAGTCACTTTATCTGTTACAGGATCCCAGTAGTCGAGCATGGATGACCACAATGATGAAGGAACAGAAGGTAAGATCCACAATTATGGTTAAAGAATTGCATAGATGTTAAGGAATATGCACAGATTATTCACCCTGAATCTTCTTTTTTTTTTTTTTTTGTCATAACAGTGTTGTTACTGGGTTGTAGGCTAGTGTCATCATTCTGCGTATTTGCCTTGTGCTTCTTGTGTGGCTTGAGTGATGGTTTTGTTCATTTTCTGCAGCTTTCAGCTAAACCATTTATTCTTCTCTTTCTTGACCTTCTTCTCACACTCCTCCCAGATGTTCTGCTGTAGAGGGTCTAATTTACAGTTTAGTCTGGCTGCATTCTTATTAGGTCTTTCAGTGTAATTGAAGCACTTACATGTTCCAACCTTCTTCTTTTTGAATGGCTACTGTTAGAAATGCAACAGTTTCAGCTATGAGCTGTGATGTTACTAAAGTTGTTACTATTGTATGCCGTTTGTTTTTGCTTTCTTTGACTCTTTTGCTTAAAACTGTTCTTTCACTTTTATCATCGTTTTGTGCCTTTCTGTACAATTAGTACAAGATGAATTAGTTTGGCCAGAAATTATTTACAGTGCACACGGTATCTCCAAAAGTGTTCCCATAGATCACGTACTGAGAATTTCAGTGCATACCTATAGCAGTATCAAAGATCCAAATGTGTATACACCAGAATCACACATGTTATACATATTCCACGGTGGGCAGATTTTACAAATTTTGAAACATTACGAAGGCAACTGTCCATTTACTCTGCTTTTGCTTCCCAGCTTCAGGGTTTTTACATTAGCAGGAGTACCCCAAGTTGTTCACCACTATTCACAAACATTAGATGTTGCATTTACTGCTTGAGGAGCAGTGTTATATGGTAGTTTTTATATATTTCATCAAATTTGTCAGCCCTAAAAAGTTTTGTCATTCAGCCATAAATGTAACTTTTTAACTGTCCATAAACTTAGTCTTCACAAGATATTTCAGTGTTTTCCTGCTAACTTCCATGACTTCATAAAATATTCACATGATATGAATATCAGATTGAGGATAGCAATAATTTTTAATTTCTCATTTTGCCAGATCACTGGCCAGTTACCACCTACACTTTATAGTTGTTAAATATCTGTATTTGTGGATAATTTTTTTCACTACAGAGACAAATACTGGAAGAGACAAGCCCAACAGATTGGGAAGGAGAAGAACACATGTTTCTTGTTTGTGTCTTCAACGTTTCCCCAGATCAACCATATACAATTTTCAAGGCACCAGTATCCAGCACAGCCCAGGACATCATAACTCAGGTATCAGAGATATTTTTTCTTTTAACGCTGTCTGTTTTTCTTTCTTTGTGTTCTTTGCTTCCACCTACAAAAAATTTGAAGTCACCAACTGGAAAGAGAAACCCAGTTATAGAGATCAGTGGAGACAGTTTAAATGTGGAGTAATGAGACTAAGAACTTATAATGCTGAAGAAGTTGTTTCTTTTTTATTCCATAGTAAAGTCAATTCAATACTCAAGCCGGCCTGAGAAAGAATGGTCAAATCTGTTATCTGTGACCACAGAAGTGGATTTGATTCCCCATGAAGTCATTTCAGAAGAATGAATTCTCACCATTACACTACTGCACGTCTAAGTGAACATTATGAAACCACTGTCAGTGGTCAGGATAGATATCTGAGTGGTCAGCCATTTGAGTTACTAGCCCTGTGCCGAATTGCCATACTGGGCTGAGTCATCCAAGAAACTGTTCTCTCCAGGCAATTCAAACATAAATAGTGGATGCCCAACAGATTGTGAACTGCCTACCACTTACAGTGTTTTGGGTGTGGCCAGTAACCAAGTTTGCACCGCCATCACCTTTGTCATCTGAAAATCTCTGACCCCACAAATGTTTTTTCAGTGGGCCAAAAGTCCAGTGGTGCAAAGTATGGGAGGTATCCTGGATGTTTCAATACATCATACCGCAGAGTTTGTAGTGTATCCACTGTATGTGCAGCCATATGGGGTTGGGCACTGTCATGCAGTCATGCAGCAACAAAACTCCATTTGAGAGAAGAGCCCGGTGTTTTGATCAAGTTGCAGGCTTCAACTTGTTCGATAACATGTCGCTGAAGCGTTGAAGTATTTTAGTGGCAGTGACGCAGGGTGCTTCCACTTGGAACCCATATGCTACACACTTTCCTATATCCACGGTCGTCATAAACATTTTTTTATGCAGCACTATGACTTAAGTGTAATTACAGAATTTCATCCAGATTATCATGGATTAGCTGCTCTTTCTGCTGCTTCACTGTTTCAGCTGCCATGATAACAGGTTTCCCACTCTTCTTTTCCTCTCCGTTGTTATACTTTCCATTTTTAAATCACACTTTCCTCTGAAAAAACAACTGTCTTTGTATTGAATCCCCATTCTTCAACACATTTAAGTTACTTTTACACCCTCAGCCCAAAAATAGATAACATCTTGTTGCTCTTCCACACTGCATGATAACATTGCTGCAGCCATCTTGTACAAATTGTGACACATGAGCATACTGCCAAACCATCACAACACATACTTTGAGTATTGAAAAGGGACCATTCTGTGTCCTGAAATAATATGTTTTCTTCTGCATTCTGTTCCTCACAGACTAGGATACATTTGCCTACTCTAAGAAAGAAAAGGAGAGACTGAAATAGAAAAAAAAACAGCAAATTACATTTTTATTAACAAAACCATTTTAGATGGGAGTCACAGCAGCATAACCACTAGCATTGTCAACCAGCTGGTTTTGTTATCAAATTTCAGTCAAGGCAAGGATTCTGTAAACTGACTTAGGCTCTCAAGTTGATCCAGTTTGAAACTGGTACCAAAAAGTTCCTGGGAAGCAAAGGTGGCTTGTTGATGGATATATTACCCATCAAATTGTAGTAGGTCTATGAAATATGGGGTTATCACCATATGGCTACCTCTGTTTACCCATTTAAATAATTATATGAGAAACACAAATATTCTGACCAGGCTTAGGAGTAGTGTAAAAGTCAAGATTGACTTTAGTGCACAGGGTTTTAATCCCATTTGGATCAAGTCACCTCTGTAAAACAGCTAGTTCCCTGCCAAAAGTGTTCCACGCAGCACAAATGCTGTAGCTCTAGTGATGATCCCCAGGGATATCCGTAAAAATGTCACTTGTGGACCGAATGATGCATCTGTGAAACATACTCACAATATTCAGAGTATGAGGCAAACACCTGGACCCTTCCACCACACTCAGAAATGTATACATAGTTAGCAGTTCAGCTTTTTTGTGTGTGTGTGACTAGAGTTACAATTATTTTCTCTTGCTTTCCACTACAGGCTATGAAGAAAGCTCATCGTGCTAACACAGAAGATCCCAGAGATTTTGTTTTGTTAGAGGAAATCATGAGCCAGAATGAATCTCAGCAACGCACATCAAAAAGTGCTGCCCTAGACAAGGGAGACAATTCTCGGTTGCTTGCAGATGATGAAAATGTTTACCAGGCTCAGAATGACTGGAAAACAGCCGGAAGATTTGTTCTCATGAGCAAAGCTGAAGTCAGCTTAGAGGAGGAGGTAAGGTGGCATCAAAGTCTGTTTCTTAAGAATATGTACATTTCTATCATTCTAGAGTGTATAAAATTTGTGTTTGTTCTGTTCAGTTTACATGAAATATAAATCAGTCACTGTTTAAGTACAATTGCAAATACAACCAGTGTGTTTAACACCATCCCAATATGGGATGCAATATTTTGTTATTTCAAAGCCCTAACCCGGCTGTCATCGGGGGGCCCTATCAGATTATCTCTGATTGTCACATTGTGTCAGAACATCTCTGACTGTTACATTGTGTCAGAACATCTCTGATTGTTACATTGTGTCAGAACATCTCTGATTGTCACATTGTGTCAGAACATCTCTGACTGTTACATTGTGTCAGAACATCTCTGATTGTCACATTGTATCAGAACATCTCTGATTGTCACATTGTGTCAGAACATCTCTGACTGATACATTGTGTCAGAACATCTCTGATTGTCACATTGTGTCAGAACATCTCTGATTGTCACATTGTGTCAGAATATCTCTGATTGTTACATTGTGTCAGAATATCTCTGATTGTTACATTGTAACAGAACATCTCTGATTGTCACATTGTGTCAAAACATCTCTGATTGTCATTGTATCAGAACATCTCTGATTGTTACACTGTATCAGAACATCTCTGATTGTTACACTGTATCAGAACATTTATGAGTGTCACATTTTCTCAGAACATCTATCACTGTCGCATTGTATTAGAACATCTATGACTGTGAAAACATCATTAAATTATTCATTTTCTTATATCCCACATGAAATTTAGTTAAATTAATCAGTTTTATATTTATACCAGGAAAAGAAACGTTTCTTGAAAGGATCAGTTTCCAAAGGCAGCAACTTTTCAAAAAGGTTTGGATCCAAGAGGCTTTCTCGACATACAAATCAAGGGGAGAAACTCCTATCTTATCCTCAGCCAGGTACAGTGAAATGTTTATTTGCACACACCGTCGTCTCATTACTTGTGTTTAACTGTTTACAAGTAACCTAGAATGTTTATATATTCATGCACTTACTTCTTCTTTTCTGCTCACCCTCAGAAGGGAAGTTGGCATGCTGTGTTGTGGTTTACAGTTAAGATGCAGTATGTGCTCTTTATAGCTCAACACATTTAATATCATTAAATTCTTAACAAGTGGCCTTTTATGACATGCTTGTTAAGAGGCAGTAGGTCTGTTCCCCCCCCCCCCCATCCCCAATAGGGTCCTGAACCCACATGGGGACTTCATGAATACAAATCAGTGTGCCCTGTGTAATCGTATTTTTCTCATTTAGTCAGAGTATGCTAACAAAAAACAACATTTGATTACATATTTGTTTTATAGAAGAGGAGTAGCTGGTTGAGCAGTTAAGAATGTTGTTGGCATGTTTTTTTTTTTTTTTTTTTTTTTTTGGAGATCCAAGTTTGGACTGTATTTCAAATGGTGACCCTAAGGGATGCAATCTATTGTTTGTTTATGGTGAATTTAAGGGACAACGTCTATTGTTTGTGTATGTTAACTTGATAGTGCTATGTAATATTTATTATTGCTTCAGGTTAGAGTTAGGGTTAGCACTAACTATAACCCTAACCTTAAACAGTATTAAATATTAAGGAATTGTGAACTTACATAAACAATCGACTACATCTCCTAGGGTCAGCATTTAAAGTGTTCATAACTTGCTATAGGTCACATCCCTTAAGGTCAACATTTGAAGTTTTGTCCAAGTTTTTTTTCCTCAGCAATGTGTCGGATTCTGTTTTATCAATGGCAGAAGTATTAGTCTTAACCTGCACAGTACATAGTGGCCGCATTAGCCATGTAGCCCTAAGTCGCTCAATACCCCTTGTCCTACACCGCCCTAAAAAGTGCTAAATGCGGGCAGTAAAGGTAAACATATTTAGAGATTGTATACTTTAATATCTGCTCTACATATATCCAGGGTAACAGGGTGCACCTGGGCTGTTTATATCAACCGTCGTTCTGATACGGTTGGCAATTTTTCATTATTTTAAAGCTCCCACCCCAGCTGTAGTCGGGGAACTTAATATAACCAAACGGTTAAACCGGGTTTCTAGGACCTCTGCCTGGGTGGTCCTCATCGGCATTGTGGCAGGTCATGTCATTTGGGTGTTTATCGCTTGGTGGATGTCCTGGTGGGGTTGGATCTCATTCATACACTTGAGCAGTACTTTGTGTAGCAATTATAGAATCCCTGATTATAACATCTCAGAAAATTTAACAGGTTATTTTGGATGTGTTTTATTGGACTTGCACGCAGAGTTTGGCTGAGATTAAAGGTAGGGGACCAAGTGGAAAATATATTCAGTCAATAGTTCTATTTTTTTGTTATTTGTCAACGTGCAGCCCTTCCAGGATACCTGTTACATCCCTGAGACACTGACAGAATTTTAAACTCATTACTTATAAATAGCAATCATTCTGTGGCTGCCTAGTAACAAAACAAAACAACTAAACTGAAAACACTGAACAAGATTTAGTTTGATCACCTGATAAATGAAAAAAATGTACACAAATTAAATAACTAGATGTTCATCAGTTGGTGTAATGACCCACTATGACTTAATGGTAAGCCTACTTGCCTGTGAAGACGTTGGACTAGGTTCAATTTCCTGTACAGGCAGGATTATGTTTTTGCAACCATTTACAGCTTTTGAGGTCAACTAAACCTCATAAATATATAATTTTTAAAGTAATTTTCTGGCAATTGTCTGGGAAAAGAAAGCAAAGAAGAAGGGAACTGACCAGCTTATCTTTAAAATGGATTCTTCTTGTTCTTTTTATTCTTCACTTCCTCTTTTACCAACTTGGGCATCATAAAATGGATGTGCATCAAGTCTCTGATACAAGGCCAAAGTCCAGGCAGCAATGAGCAACAAGCCTTGAATGTTTGAAGCCTTAACAGTTCACACCCTTCCAACAGTAATTACATTTTTATAGGTATGTTTGTATGAATAAGAGAAAGATTTATACTTTAATGAATACTTTAGCTAACAGTAATTGTAACTGTCCCTTGTCTTCCACAGAAACCTTTCATCGATCCATCAGTTTTCCATCTCAGGTCAACAATACAGCACTCGTGGCCAAAGCCACAGCTCCTTCACCAACTCTCTCTCCAACACCACCAGAGAGAGCGGGACCTTTCAAAATCTCAAATAAAATTTCAAAACTAAGCTTCAAGCTCAACAAATGAATTAGCAGTTGACACTTAAGTGCAACAGGCTTGAAACTCTTCAATTCAAAACACTGATTGATTGAAGAACCAGCCAGCCTCATTGCCTGCAGGGTATACACAAGGATGCCCTGTCTCCCACAGCAACTGTCATAAGATAACAACTGATCACAAAGTTGCCAAGCTGTGCTTTGCTGGGTGTGTTGCTTGTCTACAGCTGTCACAGACACCCACATTGTGATTTCTCAGTATCAAAGTGGGTTGGAGATGGCTGATTTAGACAGTCTGAGCTTAGAAATGTCTTTACAATGAAAATGCGTGACAGTGAAGGCAGAGGAATATTGATGGAGCTTGACATTTTATTTTTGTGTCACATGCCTCCAGGTAGCTTCCTGACTTGTAAACTGTTACAAAACTTGCCAAGCCATCAGCTGGATCACTGCAGCAGGTAAAGGGATCCTGAGCAAATGCTCTCCTAATCTTCAAAGTTCCGAAGAACTGACAAACCTTATGTATGATCACAGAATATAGTTCTTTGTCTTCTGAAGTTGTGTTTTAAAGGTCAGTTGGCATACTGTTTTGTGGTTTACAGCTAAGCTGTGATATCTGCACCTTTCATCCAAATACATTAAATTTTATCAAACTTCTAGTAATTAATTAGTCGCCTTTTACTATATGTTTGTTAAGAAGGAGGGTGGGGGCAATATAGGGTCCCCGAACCCACACAGGGAGAAGAATATAGTGAATCAACAGTGGAAAGTCTTGCCTCATGATCAGTTAGCTGTAAAGAAATCAAGAGATGACTGGTAACCTAACTAGGGAATGTGATGATGAAATCCAGGAAAGCAAAAACTACTAGGATGTTTTGACAAAACTGCCAGGAACTCTCCAATGACTTGTTAGACTTGCTCAACAGAACTGCAGAATCATTGCCAACACAGTTTTAACACTCTAGGTTACCATGTGGTGTTGAAAATAGGGCTGACTGCTATTGAGCCTATAGAAAACATTACTGGGAAACTCAGTAAAAGAAAGACACAGAAACTGGTTAATATTTTTTTTACCAAAGTCTCAATCAACTAAAAAATATCACTACTCAGCTAACAGTCTGAATGACTGCATTTCTTTAGAGATTGTGATAATCAAGTTTTCTATTTAGTGTTTGATAATAGCAGCTACGATTGAGGTATTTGCATGTACCTTTCTTTATCTTTCTATATATCATGATGGCCGCTAAATTCTGAAATTTACCTTTGTATTGTAATCAGCAGTGTCAGGGTTTTTATACGTGTGTCACTGCTTTTTTGTGTGTGTATTTAATTACGATTTTAATTCCACTGTTCCAAGTCCGGCTAGTTTAAACAGAAGTATATATACAGTGGCTTTTTTTTTTAACAAAGTCTACATTGTGATATATTTGTAATTAGCTGTTGGTCTTAATATTAATTAGTAATGTAGTTATTGTCAGGTAACTGTATATTAACAGTTGTGTAATATTTATAAGTTCATTTACAAAAATACTATCTCTACACATTTTGAAACAGTACTCATAACATAACCCTTGACCCGTTAGGGTCGTGAAGGTGTATTGATGGAAGCACTAACACATAAAACCCACCATCTTTCTCTTTCTTTTCCTTGATGAACAAGTGTGTGATAACTTAGTCCTGTCCATTTCTTGATGTTGTCATTCCAGGCGTTCTTCTTTGCCCTCCTCTTCTTCGACTCCCCCAAAGTTCCTTGAAGCACAGTCTTGGCAATCGAATCATGTCTCACCACATGCCCAAACCAAGCTAGTTTGTGACATTTCACCACTGCCAAAAGAGGCTCCTTATGTCCTGCAAATTTGTTTATTTTGTCTCTGACATATTTATTAGTTTTGTGTTCGAAATAACTAATTTGTAAAATGTGTCTAAAAAAAGTACTCATAACTGTGCAAATTGTGTCTTATAATCCAAACTTAAAACAGGTTTTTACAGTTGCCTCTTAAAAGTTTTAGCAAATTTCAGTGAACTTTTTCTGACCCAAGCTAAGCTTCATGTGTAGTTGGGTGGTATCTTTCTAAACATCTTGTGGATGTTCTTACTTCTTATGTTTAGTCAGGAACTCTGGCAGCATATTTTTTTCATGATGAGGTGCATGTAGGCTCTTGCAGAAGTCAACACCAATTGGTTAATTAATGTTGTCGCATGCGTTTCCCTCAGATGACAACTACTGCCTTCTGGGACTCAAAGAGTTAATACATGTTCTCGGGCAATGTGAGTCATGGTAGCAGAGTGGCTAGAAGCTTGCTTGCTGGCCAGATTGGTCTTAGGTTCACATCCACACTGGATGGATTTGGACATAACATGAAACCTATCTCCCAAGTCAACCCAACCTAAAATGGATGTTGTGAGAAGCAAAGGCAGTTAGTGTGATGCTGACCACATCTTGAGTCAAGTACAGATTGATCTAAACAAATATGAGTCTAACATCATATGCCTGATGTGCCACTAGCATAAGAAGGGTCCTTTACTTTTTAACTGCCTGGATATAATATAAAACTCTTAATAAGAAAATTTGAAGCAATGAGTTGGCTACTGGCATTCTCAACTCAGTTGGTCTACATGGACATAAAACTAAATCTCATATATATATATATATATATATATATATATATATATATATATATATATATATATATATATATATATAAAATATTGTTTTTGGCACTTTTATTTATAGGGGATCTCTGTGGGGAAGTGGTCAAGCTGTTTGCCTCGTGCTATGAAGGTCGTGGGTTCATTTCATGGCTGCAACATTTGGTCCATGTGTGAAATTTGTACGCAGATCCCTAAGGATCATCATCAGAATTTCATAGTTCGGGCTTTGGGCGATGTTCTCATCAGGGAGCTAGCTGTTCTACAGAGAGAGTCTGAGCCTTATGGGACAAAACCCTGTGCAATAAAGTCGATCCTCTCTGCTTTAACTTTAACATGTGCTACAGGGACTCATGGGACTTGTCTCTACAGCACAAAGCCTGGGCAGTTCTGTAGAGACCGTGTGTTGCTTGTGCAGCACCTTTAATTCCCAGGTCTTCATCTGGTGCCCATTTAAGGCTGAGTTGACCTGGGAGCTAAGACCATTTTTGAATAAAGTCCAGCTCTGCCAGGACTGAACCTTCCGATCTGCAGGTGAAAGTCCAGCCGCTTCATGGGAGCTCCTACATAGTGAAGTACCGGTTCTATTTCTTCCTTTTTTTGTCTGAGAATGGAAGGCAGCTTTACTTATGCGGCTAAACTTACCTAAATATTATATATTCTGACTCAGATAAGAGAGAAATCAGTGGCTGAAAATTAATTTCATTTAATATGTAAATATATAATTATTACAGTGCACTGGCTGACCCCATGAAAATGTGTAGGAGACTTTATTTTTAACTTCTTATAAGACTGATTTCAAGGGTTGGGAACATGACTGGCTTTTATTGTTGGCAACATGATTGTTTTCAAGGGTTGGCAACATGATTGTTTTCAAGAGTTGGCAACATGATTGTTTTCAAGGGTTGGGAACATGACTGGCTTTTATTGTTGGCAACATGATTGTTTTCAAGGGTTGGCAACATGATTGTTTTCAAGAGTTTAGAACAAGATTTAGTATTATTAGTATTATATTAAAAGACATTAAATAGCAACTGACATCTCAGCAACTGAATTTTGAACAGGACAGCTCTGTGCTATTTCCACAATGATGGCTGTCTACAGTGTGCCCAGCAAATGACAAAACTGTATGAAACATTCACACTGATCGACTATGTCAACTCCAACAGACTTATACAAGTAAAAAGAAAAATTACTTTTTCTCCACACCTTCAGGCGTATTAAGGCCTGTAGGGCTGGACATATATTTTACAGACCAGTTGGCACTCTGTGGATGATGTGGTCAACATCACGCCTGTCACCTTTATACTTCTCAAGACTTTACTTAGTACCCATTTAACCCTACCAGACCTGAGGCCCTGAACCTAACTGTCCCTATAACCTGAGCTCCTGGGCATTAACACGAAAAAAACAACATGATGTACACAAATATTATTTACATGCAAACAAGTGTTTAGAATAAGATAAAACTTGGAGACATTGTAGAAAATAGGTTTACCTTTCATCTAGTGCCAATATTCCACTTTTGTGTGCCAATCCACCTAGAAGAATCAGTCTTGTTTCACAAAGTAAGCACCAGATGTTGCTCTGTTTAAGGATCATGCCCTTAAAAATCTATAATTTTCATTATTCTCCTCCTCACTCTAGTTCTCACTGACTGTGTCACTTCAACTGGGAACATATTCTTCATGGAAGTCTGATGGTGATTGGCTGGTTATTTGTAGTCTGTGACGCATATTTTTCACGTACTACGCAAATTCCCGAAAAATGGGTCCAGCGGTATAGCGTCAGGTTAGAAAATTCCAGGAAAATCGGGCCAGCGGTCTGGTAGAGTTAAGGCTGGGTGAACATGGGAGCCAAGGTTATATTTGAAAAAAAAAGTCCAGCTCCGTCAGGACTTGAACCCACAACCTTCCTACCTACAGGTGAGCATAAAGCTGCTACACCAGAGTTGTTCCCAACAGACTTGTAAGAAAATATCTTAAGCGTAATCATTTACTTCATAAACTATCTCACGCTAGAAAATGTGATAATTAACTGTTAATAAATGAAATCAAACAACCTCTAATACATGGTAGTTCTGGAGAGTGAAGGTGATTTGAAGATAGATGAATCAAGGCAATTCCGTACAAAACAAAGTAAAGTAACAAAAGATAATATGAAGTGAGGTAACCAACTTTCTAGAGAAATCTCTAATATGCATTACAAAGCCAGGTTGACACCACAGCCGTATGCAATCAGATGCAAAATCCCACAACTGGGGACTGAACCTAGATCGCTGTGCTAGGAAGCTTGTGCAATATCTACTATGCCACAAAACAGACAAATTTTGTTTTTATTTTTTTCTTTCTTCCAGAAAGATTGGATTAAGATGAGTGAAAA